AGAAGGAGAACCCAAACGGCTTGTGAATATATAATTCCTTCTGCAGCATCGTCGCTCCATTGGGGACGGGGGCAGTTGGGGTAGTCTACACGGTCAGCACAACAAAGACTGATACTAGTACCAACAGGTTACATTCTTCTAACATACCTCCCGGTAGGAATGAATAGCCCGCGGAAAACTTTCCGTCAGCCAATACAGGCTCACCATCTCGAGGATAGTCTCAGAAGGGAGGGGTTTATCCACCCATTGGAGAAATTTCTCACCAATCCTGGATGCAGTCAGCCAGAATCTTTAACATAGGTTTGTCCGAAAAAAAGCAAACCCACCATGCAAGCAAGGCGATCGGACTGCTGGATAGTACATGGCCAATAGTACTGGGCCGAGTACTGTGCTCCATGGCGTAAGCTAGGCCCTCGGTCATGAATTTCTCCACTCGCGCAATTCCCTCCCTCTCCGCTGCAGTCAAGCTCTCAGTTGACGGGCCTTCAGGGGGAGCCGTCATTACGCACAGGTTCACTACATTGTTGGTGTCTTGTAAACATATATGAGGGCGGTGCACTTACAATGAACCGCTGGTGGAAGTTAGCATGGCAGCATATTTGATGGCGAAGCAGCACTAACCTTTGCAAGCGTCGAAACTCACGCCCAGTAGTCGTCCAACAAAGCTACCAATATCGCCACCTTGAATAATATAACCACTTCCAAACCCGAGGTCCTTCATCAACTGGTCTACGACCCGGGCGACATCCATCAAGCCGAAGTTCTTGTCCAGCGGGGGACCAGATGAGAAAGTATACCCAGGAAGGGACGGAACAATCAAATGGAAAGGCAAGGTTTCAGGAGAGTACTCCTCCCGGAATAGCTGCAGGACCGGGTAGAACTCGACGAAGCTGCCTGTGAAGTCATTAAACCTGTTGAACCTACCGTAAGCGAGGCGAAGTATATACTTACCGGGCCAACCATGGAGCAATGCGATGGGCACAGCATCTTCTCTTTCAGAGAAGAGAGCAGCAAAGTGAATGGTGAGACCCTCGATCTCCGTGGTAAATTGAGGGAAAGAGTTCATTCGAGCTTCAAACGGTCGCCTACATTTGCCTGTCAGCATTGCACATCGATGGACCAGCTAAGGAACCGAACCAGTCAAACTCCGAGAGCCATTTCTCCCGCATCGTTGTCAGCCATTCGGAAGTAATGCCAAACCGGCCATCCGACTGCAAGCTCTCATAGGTGGGAGGAGCAATCTTGGACAGTCGAATGAGGGTTTTCAGGTCGTTCAACTGTTCATCCGGGATGGAGACAGTGAAGGGATTAGGCGAAATGCTCGCCGACGTGGGAAACTTGGCGAACGGAGCGGACATGATGAGTTGAAGCTGGGTGGATGTATGAAAAGAAGAAACGGAGATGAATAAGAGAGAAGTGGTAAGAAATGAGGGGTTGCCCAGAATATGTATTGAATGATAAGCAATAATAGATGATGGGCGGCGGGGTCACGGCTGGTCCGAGGCTCACCTTCACTACTACTGATATTGCTCCTCCAATAAGCTTCACGCAGATACGACAGCGCAAGGATTGGACAGAGCCATCCATGCTTATAAGCATTTCTGCAAGCCCTCTTGGCATTGCATCGATATCATCTGTCATTATTAGAGTCAGCATATACCACGACCTGTCACCTGATGCGGATGGGTGCAACTATCACTTCATTTATTCTGTTTATTCGAGAATATAATAGAACACGAAAGGTTTGGAAAATAAAAAGTGCCTACGAGTATTTGGGGATCCAAGTAATTTCAACGAAGGCAGCAGATCGACATGCATGTGTACGGCCATTATCATGCGCAGGGAGAGAAGGAATCGTAGTTGATTGGATCACTTTCATGGCTACTGCTGCAGTAAGCTCGACTTCAACATGAAAGTTAGATTTTGAGTTATGTACTAAACTGATTGGAGATTATTATCTAGACAAGTCACTTCCACTTGTGTCCGGAATCCCTTAGAACAAACACGGGCAGTATATACTGAAGTTTCAAGACACGCTTGGATACCTCCGCGTGGTCAGGAATTCGGTAGCTAAGAAAACGAAGATATTAAGGAACATCCTTTCTGTCATGATAAGCCCCTCCAACCATATCTACATATAATCCCTCGTCTTCTCCTCACAAAACTCCCAAAACTCACACGCCCTCCCCGTCCCACCCTCCTCCTTACTCCTCATCGCATCCAACAACCCCGGCGCCACAGCATCATGAATCCTCCCCCATGGAACAACATACGCACCATTATTCTCCAGTCCCAAATCCCCCGACAACCCCGCGTACAGCACCGTATGGGCCGCCAAAGCCGGACTATGCAGCAGCGGCCAAGAGAGAATCTTCATCCAGCGTGCATTCCTCAGGAGATTCGTATTAGCTGCGCCCGGATTCTGCGCTACACTGACGATGCCTTTCTCGCCATACCGACGGGCCATCTCCGTGGACAGGAACCAGTTCCCCAGCTTGGAGGTGACGTAGTTCCGCACAGTGTCTTTCGGTGGGTTGGTTAGCTCTGACATGATGATGCCTTCGGGCGGAGCGGAGAGCTCGGCGACTTGGCTGCTTGTCCAGATGACGCGGACGAAGCCGGGGGTGGTGAGTCCAGAGTCGGATGATGCTGCAGCTTCGAGGAGGGGGGTTAACAGCTGGGTGAGGAGGAATGGCCCCAAACAGTTTGTTGCGAGTTGGAGCTCGATGCCTTGTTTAGAGACGCTGCCTAGCGGAGGTTGGGACACGCCGGCATTGTTGAAGAGAAGATCGAGCTTGGTTTCTTTGCCGCGAAAGGTAGAGGCGGTAGCCTTGATGGTAGAGAGGTCGTCTAGATGGAGTTCGAGGAAATGTAGCTCGCCTGGGCTGCACTTGGAAGTCTTCGGGACGGACTTCTGGATAGCCTGGATGGCCGCCTGAGCAGCGGACTCTGATCGTCCTGCTATGTAGACTTTGGCGCCTTTGCAGTAAAGGACCTTGGCTACTTCGAAGCCGATGCCTGATGCGCCACCGGTGATGAGCACCACTTTTCCCAATTGCTGGGGTAGGTCATCAGGGGTGAAGGTTGGGCGGGGAGGGAAGAATTGAGAGAATTGGGCTCCCATTGTGGAGACTATTGATAGTCGGTGCTGTGGACATGGGACGCAAGACGATTCAGTCACATATTTATGTGTTGGGTTCTTGGGCGAGACCCCTGCAGGGCCTGTTTAGTCCCGTCAATCGCTATACATGTTTAGACGAGCGGACCAACCGGCGCGACTAAAGAACTAACCGGCTCGGTTGTTAGCGTTGACACTCAGCTAGCTCAGCCTGCTGGGAATTCGCTTTGTTTCCATTTCTGTGGGTGGTTGCCATGTTCTATGTAGATCATTACTTGTTGCATGAATACTAGGACAACGACGATGAACTGGTGGTAGAGTGTCGTTGGGGAGGAGGCTGTCAAAATGTTCTCCCAGCCTTGCGAAATCCATCTAGACTCGACCAGCACATCACGGGTTGCCATTTCCTCGCACTGTCTAGTTACCGCAGAATAAAGACCACTAACAAGGCATTAGTTTTTCCGCATTTCATATCAAGACTAATATCTCCGTAAGAACGCCGTTGCCATATTAATCGGCAGCACTCCCGACGCAGTCCACAACGCTACGGCAACCCTCCCGATGCATCGGCATCTGGGTCTACAACAGCAGCATCCCCAGTAGTATTTAGATACATCCGTATTCCGCATATTCCTACTCAAAGAACCTACTTTTCTGAGACACCCTTCCCTTGACTCATCGCTACCTCATAACATCCTCCAGCCACAGACCAATAAAAAAAGAACAAAAAAGCACCATGCACCACCTCCCCAACCCACCATCCAAACCATGCTCCTAAACCTCACACGCCCCGAAATCCACCACTTCCTCCATATCATCTCCTCCACCCTCATCTCCTTCTCCACGGCCCTCGAACGGCAACACCAACCCTCACCAAGCACCATATCCCGTCTCAACGGACAACGCACACTCTTCCGCCCCTTCACCTCCCCAGACAGCATCGGCGCCAAGCTCGTCGTCGAGCCAGCTCCCAACTCCACCACCGGAAAACGCGAGCACCCAATCCAAGGCCTCCTCTTTATACTAGACCCGCTGGGAAACCCCACGGGAATCTTATCCGCCGAGGAAATAACCGGCTATCGGACGTCGATGAGCGCCATGATTCCGTTCTCCTGGCGAAAGCATGTATCGAATATAGTGATATTCGGGGCTGGGATGCAGGCATTGTGGCATACGCGGTTGATATTGGGGTTGAGGGGGGAGGAGGTGAGGTGTATTACGTTTGTGGGTTCTTCGAGGGGGCGAGTGGAGGCGGTGATTGGGAGGGTGAGGGGGGAGATGGGGGGGAGGTGGGGGTCAGACGAGTGTAAGTTTCGGTTTGTGAGTGCTGAAAATGGGAGCGATGGTGAGGTTGAGAGGTGTTTGAGGGAGGCGGATTGTGTGTTTTGTACGACGCCCTCGCAGAAGATGCTTTTTCCGGCGGCGTGGGTGATGGAGAGGGGTGAGGTAGGGAGGAGGCCGTTGGTTTCGGCGATTGGGTCTTGGTTGTCGGAGATGATTGAGTTGGATCCGGATTTACTTAGGGGGGTGGTATGTGGTGAGGAGGGGATGAATCCGTGGACTGGGGAGAGGGGAAGGGGGGTGGTGTTGGTGGATGATAGGGAGTATGCGGTGCATGGGTGTGGGGAGGTTGTGCAGAGTGGGTTGGCCGGGGAGGATTTGGTAGATTGGAGAGGTACTTGCTGTGAAGAGTGGAAGTATTCAGGTATCTGGTGATAAGCATGTTCAGCATGTGGAGAGGTTTATACAGGAGGGGTTAGTTGTTTATAAGAGTATCAGCGTGGGTCTTACTGATTTGACGGCTGGCCGGGAGGTTTTGAGATTTTATCAGGAGAAGCAGGGTAGTTGTAAGAGATAAGTAGTCAATTATCATTTTTAACAGGAAGTTCACCATTGAGATGTTCAGCTGCAGGACATATATACTAGGACTACCAAATAGCATGGTTGTCCATCATTGTCGATGCCCATTCTGCATCAAACAATTCAATCGAGTTCACCATGGCCATCATCTCAGCAGATGTCAACGATGGCTCAAATGCACATCCCGCCGTCAGTGTGAAATCACCCCCAAGGAACGGATCAGAGCAAGAGTTCTCTGCGATAGGTGTTGCTGTATGAGCCTCATGTGAAGAAAGCGGCTGTTTTGTGATAGAGTGTAGAGGAAGTTCAAAATTGAAATGCCCATTCTGGTCCTGGCGTGGCATGAGCAGATTCAGTTTCTCGTCTAGCTGCTGTATTTCCGAATGCCGGAACCGTGCTATCTGATTCCCAGCCTCGACCATGTCATTAAATATTAGGTCCGCTGTAGCGTGCCACCACGTATCGTTGGCTACTAATTGACGGTCTATTGCCGGGGCCATTAGAAGCACCACCGTGGAGATAAAAACAGATTCCAGATCAAAAGTGAGGAAGGTTTCTAGTCGTTCTGTTAGTCTCATAAGGATCTCGGACGGACTGTTCATTACCTAGAAGGCCCTGAGACGTTAGACCGTGCAGAATCCTTATGCTGTGTAGCGCAGAGTCTAAGCACATCCTGATCAAATTCCTGACATTGGAGATTTCTGGAGGGATTGAACACATGTTTCCGCAGACTCAAGTCGGATTTTGAGAAAGCAGAACAACAAAGGCCTGGTAGCCACTATTACGCACTAATCGAGTCAATATGAGAATGATGGCTAGAAAGTAATTCTCACCTGTTGATAAAATAGGTGCAGGTATGCTGCTACTCGAGAGAGTCCACTGTCTGTCGCTTCAAGATGCAGAGGAAATGACTTGTTCAGTTCATCTGCCAGTCCTGCTAGGTTGGACAATGCTGCTTTGATGTTCAATAAAAAGGATCGGTCAAGTCTGCCATCAGTGGCATAAACTCCTGTATCTTTTTGAGTAAGGTCATCGAGGCTGAAAAGGAATGGGAAGCTTACTGGCGTTAATATCAGCTATGCTCCGGCATAACTTGATGTGCATGTCTAAGATTGTGATGTTTTCCGAACCCACAGGAGAAGGCAACTTGGTTTGAATGAAGTGGTCGTCGACAGACTGCGGAAGCCCTTGGATAGATGTCATGTGCCTGTCCAGAATATAGACAGTCCACCAAATCTTCCGGCACCTCTCCACACTATCCCGTCCCAGGTCCATGACGGGCATACAGGTGTGCATGCCGTGAGCCATGGCCATTCGCATCGCTTGGCCCACCTGTATCTGATTAGCGAACGAGTTCGCAAATATCCCATGGGGAGCCTGACATAGTTATGAGAGGCAGTTCGACAGTCGAGGGATTGGTAAAAAATGGCAATACAGCATAGGATCTCGGTCGATACTATCGGTGAGGAGTAAAGGAGGGTGTGATCTGGCAGAATTTGCAAAGCTTTGACAAAAAGGCTGATACCAAGGGGCTTTCCTTTCAGGTACTTCACTTGAGTGAACATTTTCCCGAAAGCCAGAATGATAAGAAAGTGGATATACCATAGGCCCTTTGTTCTTGTCTGCTGATCTTCCGAGTAGAAGCTATAGAGTGATTCCATAAAGTCACTGTCATCAAATAAGTGGTATAACTGCCCGCAGCGAAACTTGACGGCATTGATCAGGTATATGGCATGGTCAAGAGTTGGAATGAGAGGGCTTTCTGAACTCGGATCAGTTCGAGATCCGTCCCAGCCTAGATCATAAGCCGTTCCCTCGAACACCAGTACCTCGGTTGGTAAGCATCCTTTGTGGACATGTTCATGAACCATACTGAGTACGCGTCGAGCGAAGGACCAATTAGAGGATGTTCCTAAATAATCTAAAAGTTGTTAGACATTCCTCGAGGTCACGAAGTGATATTAACGTACAAGTTCTTCCATTGCCCGGTGACATAAAGGCAGGTGGCCCGAAGACTAGTGGATTCACCAATCCACATTCAAGATTTTCTCCGTCTGGGGGAGTATGATAGTTATCCGGTGTGTTCTCGGGAGGACGTTCACGAGAAGCCGAGCCTGAAAATGTTAGCAATCACTTAGTGGGGAGACCTTGAGGAGGTCCAATGAGTACTAAACTATTTTCGGGAGCCAAACCTAAAGATGTGTGACGGTCACTTGTATCTTTCTCCAATTGTGCTGCTCTCTGCTTCAACTCCGCAATCTGCCTATGTAGCTCTCGATTGTCAGTCGACGGTATGAATGGTTAGGCCCAGTGTGGCAGACCTCCGTGTCACTAGAACCTTTTGGCTCATGTCGTCGAAAATGCAAGAGAAATTCCGGCTGCTACAGCTAAAGCATGGCTGTGTTCCAGAACACTTGATCTTCTGTCTTCGACATCGTACGCACCTTTCCGGAAATCTTTAGCGATAGTAGTTAGTTCAACACGAATAACTCTTACACCTTAGCTGATCGCTTTCTGGCTTGTGCGACGCCTGCCACTGAACTCTTTCTCATATTGGGTGAAGCGTACAAAAAAGTGATTCAGGGCATGTTCCAAGTATGACGGCGCAGTAGGGAAATTCAGTAGGAACATGCGATAGAACAACTTAGAGTGAGGTTAAGAAGCAAAGTTCAGCAGAGAGTTTCGGAATAGAAAAGGTGTATTGAGTAGAGACAAGATAGATGAAACCACAGATGAGAAAACGCTATACCATGAGAAGAGATTGTAATTTGAGAAGAAATTCTGATAAGAAAGATACTATAATTTAAGAAGGACTGGTGTGAGAAGAGACAGATCCTTGTCAGAAGATACCCCCACAAACAGGCGGGGATCTATTCCCCGCTTATCGGCGTATTTCCGTACGAAGACTTGCAAATAGCACCAGGATCACTGACCATCTTTCATGAATCTGGTATTATGATGTCAACGGTATCTCCGGACTCTTTATTCGGTATGGTTCCCTTATAAATTCAATTGGAAAGAATTGAGCGTAGTAGCCAGGTTTCCGCCCACTTCCATCTAAACCACAACTAACCATAGATGGGTGATTTATTTTGATTGCGACAATTAGCAAATGAAGGTTCCAAAATCGCAACAGCTCGTCGGGAACGTTGCCGATGCATATTGTGAGATATCGCTTAGGCTCCCGACAGACTGATCCACTTCCCCGCATGCACTCTATCACCGAAGGGCCGTACTATGTTTGTTGCACCCATGTGAGGAATGAATGACAAGTAACCTGACGTATGAGAGGAAGATGTCACTGATCGGTTATGCTGCCGGCAACATGGCGCTGCCTATCTTTCCTGTCTGAACGGTACGCAGAGCATCATGTTGAATGGCATGCTCGAGCAAGTGTTGAAAGCGATAAATAGCCCACGAGGTCTGGCTAATCCCACAACTGACATCCATCTGAAACCTACTTCCCTTGAGTATTACCCACCCAAATAATGAGATTCGCCAGATCCATCAACGTTGTGGGCTGCCACTGTGCCGGCGAAGTATGCGATGTGATCGTCGGAGGTGTTTTGAATCCCTCGGGATGTAGCACTATGTACGAGAAGCTCGTTCACTTTCGCGACAAAGAAGACCATATCCGCCAGCTTCTTATGCAAGAGCCTCGGGGACGACCGGCAATGTGTGTGAATCTCGTCTTACCTCCTTGCAACCCAAAGGCCGACGCTGGCTTTTTAATCATGGAGACTGAGGAATACCCTGCCATGTCTGGAGGAAACACCATTGCCACTACGACTGTTCTTCTGGAGACAGGCATGGTGGCCATGACTGAACCAGTCACCAAGATAGTCCTGGAAACCCTAGCAGGTCTAGTGCCTGTCACCGCGGACTGCGAGGGTGGGAAGTGCAAGGCGGTCGCATTTGACAACGTCCCTTCGTTTGTTTTCGCCCTAGATTACAAGGTCGATGTCCCTGGACTGGGGACTGTCTCGGTGGATATCGCATGGGGAGGAATGATCTACGGGATTGTCGATGCGACTTCACTTGGGATCAGCATCAGCAACCAAAACGGGCAGAAGTTGATTGAATACGGAGAGCGAATCAAAGATGCTCTCCAAAAGACTCCATTTGTTCCCGTCCATCCGGAGAACCCCAGCATAAGAGGCGTCAGTATCCTTGAATTTACAGAGCCACTTCAACGGGATACTATGACGGCCGTCAATACCGTTGTGGTTTCTCCCGGGCGGTTCGACCGCTGCCCATGTGGCACAGGAAGCTGCGCAAGGATGGCAGTACTTCATGCCCGTGGTCAGCTCGCAGTTGGCGAGAGGTTTCAGCATCATAGCATCATTGGAAGCACTTTCGAGTGCCACATCCGCGGGACGCAAAAATTGGGGGAGTATGACGCTGTCTTGCCGACGGTCAAAGGAAGTGCTTGGATCAATTCGTTCAAGCAGATGGTGTTGGTTCCTACTGATCCATGGCCGGTGGGCTTCCGAGTTGGCGATCAATGGCATATGCCAGAGTAACAGCATGAAAAAAAGGTTTGGGATGTAGCAGATAATCCCAGATCAAGTTATGCCCATAGTTATGTACAAACCCTGACTAAGCATGCGGGATGTGTCCCCAAAGGAGCATAAAACCTAAAACGGCAATGCGATGCATCCCACTTGAACATTTATTAAAATGGAATATTGATGTACTATCAACTATGACAACCATGGCCCAACACCCCTCTTCAGATACCACCATCTTTCTGGACCAGCCCCCAAGTTGTCTCCAATTCCACCCCTCCTCCCCAAACCACTTCCTCGCAGGCACCTACCTGCTCTCAGAACACAAGGAAGATGACTCTGCACCAATCCAACAAACCAAAACCGGCAGTCTCCAACTATGGCACTTAGATCCTGCCACAAACCAGCTGTACCATCACCCCAAATACCACTCGTATACATGGAACTAACTGTAACGCAGAATCCTTCGCCACAAACACCCTCTCCCATACGCAGTCTTCGACCTGCACTTCCACCCCACTGACCCAACCCTGGCTGCGATAGCAACCAGTGCAGCATCAGTGGTATTTTTCCGCATCAATCCCGACATTGATGCCGGAGAGGACGTCAGTTCGTGTATTAAGGAGATCCACTCCCACCAGGTCCACGAAGACCCCTCCATCCCAGCTCTCTATCTAGCCTGGTTACCAGCCGGATGGCACTCCACCACCACTTCCACCTCTGCTATTAACCCCGAGGGAGAGACAGAGTACGGCTTCGCCGTAACCTTCTCCGACGGCCTAACCACCATCTTCAACACTAATCTATCATCCCCTCCAAATTCCTTCTCCATAGCAAAAGAATCATCCTACCCCGCCACCCAGCAAATAGAAGTCTGGTTCGTAGCAGCAGCTACATACCCCCCGCCTCAATCCGATGGGGATAAGATGCGCTACATCTTTACAGGAAGTGACTTCGGCTCGTTGCATACTCGCTATCTTCCTGCGCCTTCCAGCAACACCAACTCAGACGATGGGGATGAAGCTGAGGCTAGCACGCCCATCCTCTCCCATGACGACCGCGCCCGCCACCACACTGCAGGTGTGACGGCCATCTTGCCCCTCCCTGTGCCCATGACTGATGGCGCGCCGTGGCTTCTAACGGGAAGTTATGATGAGTCGTTGCGGGTGTATCATGCTTCTCGGCGGGGGGAGGTACTAGGGGAGATTGGGCTTGGGGGTGGGGTTTGGAGGTTGCAGATTCTTTCTTCTGAATCTCGCACTTTGGATGGTGAGGAGGGTGATATGGAGTGGGAGTTCCTGGTGTTGGCGAGTTGTATGCATGCTGGGACGAGGGTGGTTAAGGTGCGGATTGTGGGTGGGGAGAGTGGGGAGTTGAAGGAGTGTGAGATGGATGTGCTGGCGGAGTTTACGGAGCATGAGAGTATGAATTATGCGAGTGATGTGTGGAATCTGGGGGGCAATCAGGGGGGAGGAAGGGAGTTGGTGGTTGTGTCGAGTAGTTTCTATGATCGGAGGGTTTGTGTGTGGCGGGTTAATGTATGAGTATACTTGCCTGGTCTACATAAGATTTGGGAAGAGGGAGATGAAGTAGGTTTATGTTATGTTCGTAAAACGCTCGAGAGGTCATATGCAGAAGTGAACATCAACAACAGGTATACCAACGAAACACGCCCCGTCCCGAAACGAAACCCGAGAATGAAATGATTATAGATAAATCAGACGATCGTCTCCAGCTCGCGCGCATAGCCGATCGCATTCTCGATGATCGTGCCGCTGGCCACGAGGATATCCTTCTCAGACCGAGCAGCCGCCTCGGGCTCGACGGGGAAAAAGATGCGGCCGTCACGGAGGACCCAGCCGCGCTGCTGGGCGAACTCGATCACGGCGCCCTCCGAATCGAGGAAGAGGAGGTTCTTGGCGTTGGAGATGGGGAGCGACGGGTACGCCTTTTCGGAGCAGTCTGCGATTTCGCTGCGGATGGTTCCGACCAAGACCTGCATAATCAGCATTAGCTAACCAAATCATCGACGAGAGAACGCGGCGCGCATATTATAGTCAGGCAATGGTATACTCACATTCGAGAACAGCGCGAAGTCTTCCGAAGGCACGCGCTCGGAGTTGGTCTCCCGCCACACCTTATCGTAGCTTCCCTCCATCAGATTCCTCTCCAGCTCGACCGGGTACTTGATGAACGGATCATCCTCAACGCTCTTGCCCTTCAGACTCGCCTCCTCGACCAGACCCTCCAGAACCGTGTGGAAGCTCGTGCTGTCGCCCATGCTCAACAACAGCAGTAGATACAAGCCTGTGATCTTGCTGCGCTGGCTGTTTCGGATGTCCACGTGGCCGGCATTCGTGCTGTCCCGCTCCAGGTCGTAGAACGGCTGCAGCTGCTGGTAGTATCGTGTGAAGGTAGGTGCGTCGGTCTGTCGGATAGAGGCGATGGCTCCGAGCTCGAGAACCTCGCGGGCCTGGGCAACCAGCTCGGCGGGTGCTGACGGCGTGGGAATCAGGACATTCTGCAGGAGGAGGGCGCGCTTGCCGCGACTGAGGAGGTCGTTGACGGCTTCGAATTGTTGCCGGCCTAGGGCGCTGTGGAGCTCGGAGACGATGACCTTGAGGTCGTTGGCCATTGTGGATTAGAAAGTAGAATGTATCGGCTGTGTAGATATATGTGTACGACGAGCAAGATAGGGAGGAATTAGGAATGATAGACTGGTTGGATTGGTGTGGTGGTGCAGTGGTTTCGAGATGGAAGTGCTGGTTGTGACGTTGGCAGCCGCAGCTTCCAGGAGCTTCGGAGAAGCCCATCACGTGACATCATCGGGCAAAACTACGGATCGAGCTTATCTTGTTTACATCGTTTAAACTCTGTCCTCTCTTGAGTTGCAAACAGCCACTCGCTCTTCTGCTTACAAGTGCATACTTTCAACTATGCTTCATCATATATTGTCGCATAAAAGGAACCCGCCTTTCTGCAGCTTTTGAAAGACGCCCTCCGCGTCGTTCTTGGCCGCCGCCTCCTGCATGAGCCTGATATTCTAGGCTCCGTAGCTTCCACAGACCTGCGAGCCACTTGCAAAGGTCGTATACCTGAAATTCAAAAGTCCTCCCTTCTTTGGCTAGAGACTGCGCCGTCTTGGATATGGTATCTACGGCCTTTGGTCCGCGACATCCTCACTACCGTCTTCAGGCCATTCACAGGTGAAAACCCACCCTATTTATTGTGTGACGTCCCTTAGTCCTGTGGTCGGAAATCAGACATTATGGGAGAATTGAAAGAAACTTACAGTCCATGGGAAACTTCGAAGGCCCATGATATTCCCTCCGCGATCTTTACCGGCCTGAATACTAGCCGTACCCATTTTAGCTGAACTGTGTAGTGCAGGACAGCGCCTTGAAAAGGGGTCTTGCAGACTTCGAGCCGCGTTTCATACACTTTCTCATAAAGCTCCCCGCTAATCTTAGTAGCAACTGTGCAAATGGATTGTCTGTCATCGCGCATCAGGTTACTAATGAGTGGACTAGTGCATTACGCCTCCGTGGGGTCTGTACTCTCTGGGACGTTTGGGCGTGGCCCACCTTACCCAGAGCTTGGAAAACTGACAGTAGCGTGCCGTTAGTGCATGGCAGTACCGTAGCCACCATGCTTTTGAGTTGAGGAACGGCTCAAACACCTTCGGTGGCTCATCTGGGTAGTTCCGTAAAACATGCTTACTGCGACAGATCCGTTGAAGTTGGCAAACAGCCCCGCCCTTGGGGTCCCCTTTTTGGGCCTGCTGGACTGCCACAGTGGCTTTGTTGATGACCACATGGTTCTCTGGATTGTAGACGTTGATATCTATTGAATCTTGATCAGAGGATGAGCTTTGTGGCCAAACCATGTCACAATGCTTGTTTAGCATGTTAACGGATCATCCAGGTTATGTTCGGGAGGTGCCATACACACCAAAGTTGGAGCCACCGCCCTTCAGGGCACGATAAAATCAGAATCCTCCTTCGCGTTGGCGTTGATGAGGCTGCCATACGCTAGTAGAACCTGCAGGGATGATTTGCTGTCAGTATCTAGATCTTGACGAAGACAAAGACGCTAAAAGCTTGCCTCAAAATTCTTCACGCTATCAGCACCAAGTCCAGAGCCCCCATGCCTCATTTGTGTAATAATTAGTAACTTTCACTATCCAATTCAAAAACAATCATCCCTGCTGCCTTCGCCCCATTCAGGCGTCCTACAAAACATCAAGGATGTAGGCTGCACGAGCAAGATACAAATCTCCCAAGGAGATCTGCCGATATCCAACCACACTGCTAATGTAGCAGTTGGTATATCCAAGCAGAGCTGATTGTTCGAAACGGACATCCACATTCATGGTTGAAACCTTCCATATTAGACCGCGCTGGCGCCGGTATGAAAGTACATCAGATGCGCTTTACTAGTGGGATCGCTTAACACGCGTGGATAGAAATTCTGTTCGCGACACAATGTTGTGATATAGGATGGGGTGACTGGCTATTCTGAATTTATTAGAGGTGCCGGCACATGGAAAAAGACTTTCGACGCCAATCTAACGTATGGATAACAGGTTGCGATAGTACTTTCAACTGGTGGCTTGAGCACCATGGCCGCACTTCGGCGCTTGGGTTTGAAAACACAACTTAGGTGGATCGATGAGAATATTAACCGTTATCTTTCTCACCCATTATTACTATACACATAGACCAAAAGGTCTACGTAGTAATGTGTCTTGACATCTTATGTGCGATCCTAGAATGTGACAGTGACTCACCCAGGAGCATTGTACAGTGTCTGGCATCGTAAGTTACTACGCATAGAAAGCAGAATCTGACAGCCTAAGACGTTTATCTATGGCCTTGGGCATTAGTATGCTAAAGGTGGTTAATTAATGCTTGAATCCAAAGAAAATCATCCCTAAACGGGCAAGGGTATAACCCCCCGTCTTTGTGCCCAAGCACGTGTTTTACTATATGCTTTACTCGGGTAGTAGACTTTCACGCAATATATACTGGCCCGTTGAAACCAGTGGTTTGATACATGACGGTTCTTTTCAATATCAGCCCCAAGCTTCCCATTAAGGTCCTGCCTCACCTTCCTAGGTACCATTCAGACCCTCCCATCCCACTCAAACACCGTGCCGACTAGTTGTCAAAAAACATGGTCGTCCAGTTCTGCGATGATTGTGGTAACCTTCTGGATGAATCATCCGATGACACTCTGAAATGTGGGATATGCGGAAAGACCGCTAAGAGTACGCCACACCAGCCTCCCTCCCTAAGTACCACAGGGCTGACCAAACGCAATAGACATGGCAATACATCATGTGCAGGTCTCCACATCGGAGAATTTCCCATCCAGGCTCAGACACAGACTGAAATCAAATACGCAAGAGGTGACTTATAAGACTATTGGGAAGGGTCCCTCCATTGACATGGAATGTGTCAAATGTCCTTCTAGGGAGGTGACCTATGCCCAGGTCCAGTTGCGGAGTGCAGATGAGGGAAGTACTATCTTCTATACCTGTGCTAAATGTGGACATAGGTAAGTAGGGGTCTCGCGTGAATGCGGAATGCCTGCTAATTTTGGTGCACCAGATGGCAGGAGGATAACTGAGGCGACATTGGAACACTTCTGCCCGAGGATCAGGTGGTGATTTCATCGTCGGCTTATGACTTTGATTTCACGATGAGTTTACGAATGGCATGGGGTCTATGCTTTGTCCAAGCCAAGCCCTGCATGGAGTTTTTACAGTCAGATCTAATATGGCACGAGACATTCATATCATTTCCAAATAGCCGTACATTGCAGAATCACATAAACAGACCTTTACATATGACATGCTCAAACAAGCAAACCAACTCATCTCATGTTCAAAACCATAATCAGCAGAGCATCAGCATCAAGCCAAAATCTCCTTCTCATGCTCCTTCAAGAATGCATCCACAGAAGTGAGTCCCTCCGCCAACGCCCCCAAGTGCTCACGACAATTGCTCACTCCATCCCCACCGGGCACCTCATCCGCCCATCTCGACGAAGCAGCACCCAGATGCCCCTCCTTGATCATTCCATCCACAACCCCATCATCCAGAAACTCCACCTTCACCTCTTCACCCACCACCTTCCCAATCTTCCCTGCCAGCTGCTCCACCGTCACCACCTCGACCGCCACATCAACAGCCTTGTTCTCAAACCTTTCAGGCTCCTTAACCGCCGCCGCAACCACAATCCCCACATCCCGAGCATCCACCAACGGCAGCTCTGTGCCGGGCCGATATGCCACGCGCAGGACTCTCTCTTCCTTGAACGCAGGGAACATGAAGTCCCGCACAGGCGGCAGGAGGTTTTGAAGGAAGTGGCCGGGTCGGACAATCGTCCAGCGCCCGCCCTCCTTTGCTTTTGCTACTTCACGAACACGATTCTCCAAGGCATGCTTGTTCAACCAGTACTCTTTCATCGGGTGAGCACCGCTTTCCCATCCGGGAAATGACTCATGTTCGCCTGTCTTCAGCGCCGTACCGAGAATGATATGCGAGATAGTGGATGATTCCTTCGCAGCGAGAATGACGTTCTCCATGCGCTGGAAATCAGCCTCGGGTTTGCCGGTTTGCACTTCGGTAAAGAACACGGCGTCCACGTTTTGTGTCGCACTGCGGAGAGATTCCAGGTCGTCGAGGTCGCCTGTGACGAGGGTCGCACCTTGCTCGGCGAGTTGGGCTGCGGCGCTGCTGGCTGGGTTGCGCACGAAGGCGGAGACGGAGTGGCCCGCGGATAGGGAGTGCTGGACGACGCCGCGGCCTTGGTTGCCGGTGGCGCCGATGACGAGGATGGTTTTGGGGGACATTGTCAGTGGTTGGTTTGTGGGATTGTAGATTGAGATGTGAATTGTGATTGATAGGAATGTGGTTGGCAATGGGGTGGTGCAGAGAGATGATTTATAGCTGTTATGCTGCCTAAGCTGCTTATTAGTGCTTACTGCGTGTATAGTAATTCTTAGATCTTACAGACGGGTGAAGGATCTCACATCGTAGTAAGTTGTTGTGTACAAGGCTGTACGGATGTGGGTAGGTAAGCTTAGATGTTTCAGGGGCGATTAGCTTATGCAGTATATTCTAGATTACTACTGCTGCAGCTGTAGCTAAGACAGTAGACACATGTAGCGGGTATCCTAACGCATCGCGGATGTTGTTCTCAACACGAGCACCACAACCGCTAGCAAATTCTAATTATCTACTTTCAATCTGTAGTATCATCCTTCAATTCCTACTTTTATCGAGTTTCTTGATCCGGAATCTATTCGTCGCATTCATCTCAAACTAATCACCATTGGCATAACAATAGACGAACAACATCAGCAGCACATAACTAGGCGGCCAACCCGCTGCGTACTAAGCTGACAGCGCCATCTGCTCCAAAGTCTGATACAGAGGCGTCCCCAGCCCAGTAACCGGGTCCCAACCCTTGGTGGCATTCCAGCTAGCATACGGCACAAGAGCTCCTCCATTTGATCCCTCACAACCCACTGATCCGCCGTCTACAATATCCGTGAATCCCTTCTGATCGAGCGAATAGAGCCACGGGTTCAGGAACCCTAGGGTGGGTTTACCCTGCTCGAGGCGTGCGGCGTTTAGCCGGGAGATGACTGCTGCGAAGACGGGGGCGGCGGCACTATAATTTTATTAGCCGGATCGGTTCTAATCAATTATTCATGTGTTGGTGATGGTCTACTCACCTTGTTCCCGCAGTCTGTAGCCATTGGCCATGATCCCTGATTACATAGTTGCTAGCCTGAGCCGACACATCAGGAATGCCCCGTCCATCTCGGTTATACAATCCATCCCATTTGTCACCTAGACGCGCAAGATACGCTTCCACGCTAGCGTTCTGGTACGACGGACGAGCAAAGCGCTCGGAGAACCCACCTCCCGAAAAGTCCACAGCCCTTTCCGGCTCGACGCCTTCGGTCCCACCGACGGATGTCACGAACGGACACGACGCCGGGAAGATAGGTTGGAAGCGGGTCCTCTGACTTCCATCGTTGGATACACAACCCCCTCCGACGCCCGAGTCTCCGCTACTGAAGATCACCGAGACCCCGCGCGCACCTAACTGGGCAAACAAATTGCACGTGGCTTCCGTGTATTCCTCCGGCAGGCTTTGCTCCTCCTCGCCGTAAGACGTGCTAAGCACTGCAGGGAGATCCTCATCCGGAAGACCCACCAGATAGTGGAGCTGTTCGAGATACGGCTCGTTGGTCGACCCGTCGGTACTCACCGTACCCGTGTCCGAGACGGACGGGGCACGTCCAGCCGTAGTGTAGAAGGTCGCGTTAGCGTTGAATGCCATGGAGAGGGCGTATTGAATGTCGAGGCTGGCTTCTGTGCTTCCCTCTTGGGAGTTCTGGGGGTTTTGGCCTCCGTTGATGGAAACTACAGAGAAGTCGGCGTCTATGCTGTCTGGACCATATACTTCTAAGAACTCGTCAAGGTCGCTGTAGCGTGCGTATTGGTCGAGGTAACCGGAAATTCCGAGGACGTTGCGCGAGTCGGGGGTTGCTTTGGTGCTGGGTAGACCGTAGAGCTGGCGGAGGCAAGCTGGCGTTACGCCTGTTAAGCAGTCTTCGCTTATTTCGTCTATGTTGATTGACACCGGCATGAGGCTCGGTAGGCTGGTTTGCGTCTTGGGCTGCCCGAAGCGTGTCGTTGGCTGGATCATTTGGAGAAAGGGATCGACTTCCTCCGGGACTGAGTACTTGAGCGTCCTGATCTGGGTTGTGTTTGTCTCCAGGTGGTGGAAGTTGTAGAAATCTGTCTTCATCATTGCCTGTGCTTGCGCCAACGGGACCGTGAAGGCGACCCAGTCCCCGCGATCTTCAATAGCATCTGATGGAACATGCTCCGATTCAAGCCAGGAGAAGATGGTCTTTGAAACCTGGTCGGATGGGCGCATAAGGGCTCTCACATCGTCACGTTTCAAATGCCGCCCATACTCTCGGTGACCGGGTGTCGAGATATCGATGACTTTCTGCTCGAATTCCGCCTTGTAGTCATGATGCATCGACAACCAGAACTTCATCGGAGTGGATGGCGAGGGAGCCGCGCCTTTCGTCCATCCGTCGGGGATGCTGCTCAGTTGGTCTACCACGACATAATCAGGCGCTGTAGCTATACCCCTGTGTAACAGGGAGAGAAGTCCTAAGAGATTTTTGAGATATGTCATGGCCGCTCGAATGTCGCATTAGATTCAAGTACTGATACTTGCGCTGTCTCAGGCGAGGCTGTCTCAAACCTTTACCCACCTGCGGAGTAAATCACCGCAGAAACTGTCTTTTCCACTCCTAGAAGGATGTCGTGTTGTGGTCACCCGTAGCTCCCTCCCTCGATATAAACCAAGGAAAACCGACAGTTGTTGTGAAGAACCACCCCTCTTCTCACCCGCGATACTTTCTAGAAATGTCGGGTATGCCAATAAGGCGGGGTCTTGTTGTCAGTTTCACCAGTGTGGTTGGAAGAGACGCGTTAAAGTTATCGAGCAATCCAGAGAACATGGAGAATGTGACAGCGTGTTCACCAACACAGAGAGCATGTAACTCCGCAGATCCACGGACACTAGACGCCATGGTTGTTGAGAAGAGCTTCATGAATTGCCAGACTATAACCATGAATCAGCATGTCTACGATGTGCGTATTGAGTGTCTTTTAGCGAAATCAAGGTATGGTAGTGGTTCGAAGCTTCTACGTCCTTGGCAGCAGCGCGACTCGCTTAAGGGGCGGTCCGGTCGGGATTGAGTCTATTCAGGGCTCAATGCGCGGTTATTTATTGATTCCCTTATTTAGCAAAGGGGCGTTGGGAATGCGCCAATCAAGGAGTGCGGGAGGCTGCAGCTTGTTTTTCCATGGGAGATAATCTTGTGGTTCCCAAGCTGAATGGAACAAAGAATTAGTGCAATTGATAGAAGTCTTCGTGCAGTATCTATTACCCTCCATTAGCTAGAGTGCTTCATTGTGGTTGATCATGTAGTAAAGAGCTCACGCCTGTTTCACAAGGAGAAAGACTTGGAGACAGTCAGCAAGTACTAAGTTGCTCATACTCTGATTTGCCTCGTTGTAATGCTGACACTGCGTATCACTAGTGACCCGACAACTGTAGTAAGAAGATAGGACTTTTGTGTTATGTGACCGAAAATGTTTTCAAGAAGCCCACTGGTTGGTGTTCAAAATGATGTTTCATCAGCTCTCTAACAAGATTTTTGGGCAATTGGGACGGAACGGATAGGTACACGATTGTTGCGTGACTATAAACTAGACGCAAAATAGAGTACAAGTTCTTCGAGATAAATATATAATGCGATCTAAGCAAGAGTACTACTATCATTCTACTGTTATATCACTTTTCTATTCAAGTCTAGCCAGTTCTAGCCTGTAAGGTCTTGTCATCTTCACTGAATTAAACGTTGCTTAGTCCCTGCTGTAGCGCGTCTTCTCTATCCAATGGACTCCGCATGCTCATGAAAGACGACATCAGACCGCAGCTCTGCTACATCTCCATCCCGTAGACATATCGCAACTACCACATTGCTCTCAAGTGTCTTGGGCAATAGAAGGGTCAAACGCTCTACCTCATTGCATCTTGGCTTTCGTACAGCCTCGGGCAATCCCAAACCAAGGTTGAAGTCGGAGCAACAGCCCTCCAGTTTCGCCCACGAACTGGGAATGAGGTCCGTTGTTGTATCTATCGACGCGCCAAAGGAGAATTTACTCTTGTCAGGCGTACGGCTCAGGAAGGTTGCAATGGCGCGCGTGTGGTGTTCCAGGCGCAATTTGTCGCTTAGGGCAAACCGAAGCTGCAGTGCAATGGTACCCAGTGGCTCCTCAATGAGTCTCTTCATCGGAAACCCAGTATATACATTGCTTTGTATGGGACCGGGGTAGAGGGAAGAAATACCGAGAATGCCCCGTACATAGGGTCGAGTGAGTGGAGGAGTCCAACCGCCGCAGACGAGCCCGAGCAACAGATTGCCAGATAAAGGCTGTGAGACTATCGTCAGTGGAGACGAAGGATGGCGGTGCGAGGGATGCCATAGCATTGATCTTAATGCTTCCTGTGAGTGACGAGAGATCTTGAAAGATGTCCATGAGCATTTGGGCATCAGAGCCTCCGGCAAGTCGGATGGGTGTCTTTATGGAGCGGGTTTAACCATGTAACGATTGAGCTCGGCACCTGCCATATGGCTGTCTTCGAGCAAGGGAACTATATCTCGGCGAGAGAGATTGCCGTCCCAACGCTCCTTGTCTGTGAAGTCCTCGTTTCGACAGGCCTTAGAAAATAAATGGATGATATTAGTTAGGCCCGTCGCATCCATAACATTATGCTGGGCGACGAAGGTGAGAAGGCCTCCCGTTATAAAATTCGCTCGAATGAGGAAGACAGGCGCCGATTCATCTTGGTTGTCTGGAAAAATATTTCAAGGCGCCAGGATGTTTTGGTCAAGCATGCCCATGGGGAATATGGCACGCTGTAAGTCGTTCATTGTCGCGGTGAAGGGTCATGCTGTAGATCTCTCACTACCAGCTAGGCTTCGTTTTGCAGCGGCCTGATCAAGAAGGTACCCGTATCACCATCTCCCGAGCCCTCATTGACAACCTGACCTGCTAACCACGGAAAGCTTGTACTGAGTCTCTCAAGACCTTTGGTAAGTGTGTCGATGTTTTTGGGGCATGCGGAGTTGTCTTGGAGGGGAAAGCAGAAACATGATTGAATATTGATAGTGAAGGTCTGTTGACCGAAGATGTCGAGACAATCATCCATACTGCTCGAGAAGATAGGATGGAAAGCTAACTTGAAAGATGGATATATACACATAGTAAGTATATATTTTCCTCAATCCGGTTGCATAGATCATGATTCATAATGAGTTGATAGCAGACTAGTTCTGATTGGGTCGCCGACCGAACCTATTTGTCAATGCAACCAAGAAACGCGAATATCGTCGTACGGTAAAGGACTTCACGCATATGACTACCGCTTTTCTAAGGGGCTGGTTGAGTGGAGTTGCACGACAGGGGTTCGTGATTCGAAGTCGAGACGTTGTGCAGCGTCACAGTCGGGCACATCGACACTCGTTAAGAGCTACTACTTGGTAAGAGATCGGTGTCTTTCCTTGCATTTTTTCTGATACTGTTATGTGAAAACGAATATTCACCTACAATTATCGTCTGCGATGTGCTCTCAACATTGTTGCATTTGTCTGCGTGAATACCTCAAGGGGCATTGCTCCATTTGATTTCTCGGGGTAATATATATCATCATAGTACAGGACCATCTGGATAAGCCCGACAGATTGTATTTCTTGCTAGTATCTGTTCCCAACCAAGACAATCTTCCAAGCATCCTACAAATTCATGAACCGGGCGAGGGCTCCCCCATACCGATCACCATGAACAGGGATCTCCTTCAGAATCGCAGCAATCTCCTTTATCTCGGACTCCGACAATTCTACATCAGCCAGGTTCTCCTCCACCCTCTCGACCGTAGTGCATCCGGGAATAGGAATAATCACCGGATTACCGGGTAGCTTGTTCTGGGCCCTCACCCAGGCAATAGCGGTCTGTGCTAGTGTCACATTCTTCTTCTTAGCAATCTGCTCCAGCTGTTCCACCAACTTCATATTGAGATGGAATACATCCGGCTGGAACCGAGGGTAATTGCGCCTAGAGTCATTGGCAGGCAGATCATCCAACGAGCGTAGTTGTCCTGTCAACCATCCTCTAGACAATGGGGAGTATGCTACCAGCGGAACATTCAATTCCTTACAGGCAGCAGCAACTCCATTCTCCAAAGGCTCTGTAGAAAACAGAGACAACTCAACCTCCACAGCAGCTAGAGGATGTACAGCATGAGCCCGACGCACTGTTTGCTCACTACATTCACTGATCCCGATGCCGCCGATCTTCCCTGCCTTAACGTACTCGGCTATCACGCCGATGGTGGTTTCAATGGGAGTGTTGGGGTCGACTCGCGCGGGCTCAAAGATACTGATGAATACTTTGCCGCTGAGGAGTTTCAAACAGTTTTCAATGCTGGCGCGGATGCCTTCGGGGGTGCCGTCGGGACCTTTGGCGCCCAGACCGCCCTTGACGCTGAGGACTACTTTGTTACTATCTTCGGGATATTTGGTGAAGTAGTAGTCTAGTAGCTGTAGGGAGTTGGCATGTGGAGGACCGTAGAATTCTCCGGCATTCCAGAAATTGGCCCCGAGGTCCAGAGCACGCTTCATGACTTTGACGGCTTCGTCATATGGAGTGGGGTTGGCGCGCCAGGTAAGGCCTGTTGGTCAGCTTAGAAGGGCTGTTCTAGGAGATAGGATGGGATAGGATATGGACGTACCCATGAGACCGAACCCTATCGGGCCGATGGCTTTATTGACGAGAGTGACAGTCATCTTTGAAATGTAAGGTATCTGAAAGAAGAGTCTAAGGAAACGGGTATTGGTGGTCTTAGACTGATATTTCTGGCGAGCTTCTGATGATACCGAGACGGAGACAAAGAAGAGAAGTAAAATAGATGAGGACGAGAGAAGACCAGCGGGGGTTAGTAATACTTAATCAATCCCACCGTTACTGTTTGGAGGGAGGGGTAAATCCGTCACTTCATTAACATCAGCGAAATGCCCTCAACCACATCGGATATACGCATTAATGTCCGCCAAACTCCGTGAGAATCCCTGTCACGGACTTGCTCTCTGATAGCTCCCCGACCGATCGGAATGCCGCCCTGAGAGGCGTAATAGAGATCAAGATGTTGGTGAGACCCTCGATCATCTACAGCTGAAACGCCCAATACCCCCTCCACGGCCCAGACGCAGATCACCTGACAGCGAATACCTAACACCTGCTTAGTGCTTACCTTTTCTTAAGACAGAATATTGAGATACAATTACTAGTACAGTGGCTATGAGTTGCGCTGACGTTGGCTGAAGATCCCTCTTCTCCAAGGATCTTCATCTTTTCCTTGGCCCAGTTCCTCGATTACACTGACGTTGAAGAGGCCAAATAATCATTAGATGCGCGCAAGCGTTTTAGTTTCTTCTATTTAGATGATAGTGCGGTCGGGACCCAGTTCCTGCAGATCACGAAGCAGATCCCCCAACTGTGGACGCAGCTTTTTAAACCAATTGCCCATGAAGAAAAGCCAACAGTACGACATTCAAGACCAGGGTCTCGTTCTTTGGGCACAGCCCCCCAGGAGCGACGGTGATCGACCGGCATAACACACGAGACTGAATGAAAGTGTAGAATGTGCGATGCACAGCCCTGGACGCACCAAGCAGAACAGAGCAATTCCAACTACGGAGGATGCAACTAGGAAACATCAATATGATGCAACCGCTCTGCCAGATCTTATTCCTTTCTGGTCCTAGACAGCTGTTTGCTCATGTAAACCTACGTCCGTAGCTGCTCTGATGTGCCTCTGACCATCCTCCATTCTAGAATGAACACTAACTTCATCATCTCTATATAATACTAATTGACGGCACCCTTTGGAGTGCCTATCAGGCAATCATGCCCCTTTTTGGCCAAGGTTCCCCTGTAATCCGACTTCGATTGCTTGTCAGTGGCCTCCACTGGCATAGGAACTGGTTTGATATACTGATCCTGAATTGGTAGTATAGACTCATAGAAGCAGCATACTGAGAACTCCATATCATGACTGCAAAGTAGCCATTTTCATTGACAGATCTCAGAACGACTAACTAACCCTACCTCAACCTATCTACACCTACTTTCCTCCCTCCTTCCCTCCATCTTAATTAAACGTATCCCAAGAATCCGAACTACGCATGAGATCAATGCACCACCGGCAATCCATTGTTATAAACAAACAACCCCTTGGGATCCCACTTCTTCTTCAACTCCAACAATCTTGGCAGCTTCTCAGCCCCATACCACGCATTCAAGCCCTCCGTGCCATGGGCATAGCTCACGTACACCTGGAGCCGATCGAATCCGCTGGTCGCATTGAACCTTGAGATCCAACGACTGGCAATGAGAAAAGGGTACTTTATATTTCTGAGTTGTTGAAGGATATTACCATGCAGCATTGCCATCGGTATATTCATATATATATATATATATTGTTGTTTCTATGGGGTTGTACCCCGAGAACATCCCTCGGAGAGCCTGAAAGGGAAGAAGCGAATGGACATCCGTTAATTGAATCCTCCGAGGCCACGGACAGAAGCCCCGGACGATCGCATTGAAGCGGACGTGTGTGCCCTCCCTCTCTTCCACTAATCTATGGGAAAATAACCAATTTCGCACACATTCGCGTCACTCTGACCACGCCATACTACGCTATCGTCGACTTTGTCTCGGCACGAATCGGACATTAATATCCGGCTTCTGCCAGCGAATATAGTTCAACGACTCCCGTTCGAGGTCCACATCCTTATTGACCAGCTCGCAGTCGAACACGAAGTGGACTTTGGCCAGTACCAGACGCAGTTCCCTGAACGCCAGGCTATCCACTTGTGAGCAGGTGGAAAAAAGATTGGGAGAGCACTCACTTTTGTCCCAAACACGCTCGCGGGCCCAGCAGAAATGGGAAGAAGGCTGACTTATCGTCCATGTTAGGATCCAGCCACCTTTCGGGATCAAATCTCGTAGGGTCACTGAAAAGTCGGGGGTCGCGGTTGGTGGTCCATGCGTGAACCGAGACCTCTGTCTGTTGAATGAATGTCAGAAATGCTTGATTTGCTGATCACCCTAGCACTGACCTCTTTAGGGACATAGTGGCCATCTACGTATGCCCCCGGAGAAATTCGAGGGGGTCCAAACGGCACCGGGGGGTAGAGTCTCATTGTTTCGTTGAGGACGGCGTGAAAGTAGGGCAGCTGGCCGACAGAACTGGAAGTGATCTCAGTAAAACCTTTGAACCGCGAGCGAATCTCGTCCCGCATTTTGGCGTAGACCTCGGGATGCTTAAGGATGAAATATGTAGCTGCCGATAAAGTTGTCGCAGTGGTTTCACTTCCTGCAATACTGGGTTCCATCAGTCTCATGCGCTGGAGCCAAAGAATTAGTCGCCACTCACACCAGGTTCTGCCCTTGTGCTGCGACCTCTTCAGTCGAGATTACTCCCTGACCAGCATTCTCCAGCATAGCAGAAAGAAAGTCAGTTCGCGAATCAGCCTTGGGACGCGCCAGACGTCTGCCCGTGCGTGTGTGCGCTAATTAGCAATGTTCTCTCACAGAACACAGTGAACACACATAATGAGGGCCTACCTTGCAGCCATTTCTCTTGTAATTTGTGTATGCTGCTTCATGTTCTTGATCTTCTCAAACGGCAGAAGTTCGAATACCTTCTTGAACCCCAATACCATGCCAAACCGTCTCAAGACATCAATGATCGCCCCTGCCTGCATATTCCCCAGTATAACACTGATCCAGAACGCCGAAGTCCCCTTCTCCGTCGCCCTAAAGGACTCTCCAAATACCAGCTCCCCCATGATATCAAAGGTGAGGTAATTGAACCAATCCACGACGTTCATGCCCTGCGGACTGCTTCCGAACCTTTGAATCTGGGTGAGCAGCATATCCACACATCGCTGCTCAAGCTCCTCGTGCGCGATCAAGGCCTTAGCTGAGAACCCAAATGCCCAGAGTCTGCGCATCCGCGCGTGTTCGTTGATGTCCGATTCGCCAATGATATCGGACGCTTCGAAATTGGCCACTCTGTAGAAAGTAGACTTGATAAATGTGCCGCTGCCAGTAGTGTTATAGATGTCTTTCCAGGCTGATGCCGTGGCGAAGGACAGTACGTTAGGAGCGATCCGGACTACGTCCCCTGTTCATAATTTCGCAATTAGCACCGGGTTTCCATACCTTTTCGGAATGTTGGCCGTGACATGAAGTAAAACCAAGCATACCATACTGACGATGCAATTCCTCTAATTGGAGATGTATTTTCCCACTCATTGACATGCGACAGTAGAATACCTTTCTACACATCATAATTTGCATCATTCAAGCGCAGAGCATGTACAACCCACCTGGCTTATTGCCGCCCATTTTGGTCCGGGAAACTTTGCCAATGGGTGCAACGTGAGAGAATACACAGCCCAAATACAGAGGAGGGCAATGCCCTGATCGAGTTAGCCGTCCGATCATGACATTAGGCAATGCACTTACCAATAATGTTAAAAAAATAGCCCAATCTTTGAACAATCCCGGCAGCAGCGAGGCCAGGCCGGCTATGTTGCTCGCGACGTGTCCATCTTCCATGCTGATCATCATTGCTACTACAATGTTATGTGAGGGTTACTTGCCTATCCTGTCTTCTATCCTTGTCATATTATTGCTTTGCTCTAGAGGCTTTATCCCATTCCTCGGTAGCTCTCGCTCCGGCCATCCGAAATGGGGGAAACCGATGGGCGGGGTAAGCTGCAGCTGGACTGTACGTCGATCGCGGGCTACTCGTCATCAGCCATTCATAGATGGATTTAAGAGCCCCCAGGATCCAAAGGTCCGGTTGTCCGAATTTGTCGGAGAATCACATCCAACGTCAGCTCCAATAGTCCAGACCGAATAATCAGACCAGGGCTTATCAGTATACCCACCATTGTAGCTACCTGATCGACCGCCTAATCTGAGTCATCGACTCCTTTATTAGTTAGTTATCCGAACTGGACAATAAGGAGTTTTTAATGATAAAAGCTTCTGGAGATCCTTTGGCCAGCATTGATTCCTGTTGCGTCTGATGGATTCCGGGGTTTCCACCATGACAATCCCCCCTTGCGCACCACTCACTGCCTCTTCCTCTGCTTACCCTCCCCGGTTGTTTCTTTCTTTGGCTCGGCCTGTTCGCTCTGGCTTACCACAAACAGATGGCAGGGTTCAACATCCTTGCGCCTTTGGTCTGCTCCTCTCCTCTTTCAGGTAATCGCTTCGCTCAATATGTGGACCGGCCATTCGCCGCTACAACGCTTAGAACGTGGACACATCGCATTAGCGCTGAGGTGAGAGCGAGGGGAGGTCCTCAGCGAGGCTTGTTGCGATAGTGGAGACACCTGCTCTTTCGTGCGGAGAAGATAGTGTTGGCTTGCTGCTGATGGAAGCTTATGTATGGCATGCTGGAACTTGACGGCGGTGGGTGGTGAGACGCCTCCCAAGACCGGTATTCTGTACATTTCGCTGGAAATTTATATAGAGACGACAAAAGGGAGTATCCGGACAGGTTCATTAGCTCAAACTTCATGATGTTCGGAACATAAATGTCGACTCAATCGGAATCGGAGCCATTTATCTCCCATGTGACTAGACCACCGTTTGAGAGCGATCGCGAATTGAAGCACTTGGCATGTTTGGCGTGTCGCACAAAGAAGGTATAACACTTCAGCAGCCAAGATATCATTAGAATAATGAGAAAGCGATGTTACAATGCCCTATGAGTGAACAATTGACCTTCCAGTATAGCTGAAATGCACCGGAGAGCGAACGGGATGTCAGCGGTGTATCGATGGAGAACTTCCCTGCGAGTACCAAGAAGCTAATCCTCGTCGAGGTCGACGTCATCAGGGGCAAGCTTAAACAACAAACAGAACAACGGAGAGGTCGAAGGTTCGACAGATCAATCCTCCGCTTCTGCTGCACCGAAGAATTCGGACGGTTCGAGAAGAGCAAGTCATTCATCGGAAGCAGCAAAAGTCCGCATGAGGTACAGAGAAGACAAAGAGCAAGATGGAAGAAGGAGGGAGTGACAAGGTAGTTTGAATGGAGGCACCCCTCATGCCACACGGACCTGGACGAAGAAGGGTTGGACTCCGAGCTCTTGGCCAGCATGCACGAGCCAGCAACCGAGTGAGGGGCCGAAGTGCAGCTTTCAGACATTCCCATGACACCCGATGATGATTTATCTAACCTGCTACCCGGACTTCGGCCATGCAGAGTTTCCCAGCAACGACGTCAACCAGGACTTGCTCTTTCTTTCACAGCTGGCCGCCTTCAGTACGCCGGAGCTCGTGAACCCGTCGTATCCTCCAAACCCCAATCCCGCCGTGCCACGTCTGTCTTCTTCAACATCCCGTGCAGGGATCCCGGGGATATCCCAATTAGCCAGTAGCCCGAGCATCGCAAATCTGCACATACCCTCGTGCACATGTCTCCAGTCTACCCTGACCCTCTACGAAAGTATCCGCGCCGTGCAGTGGCGTGCCCAATGTGTTGCCAGCGCGGGTCTTTGGCGCGAAATGGCTCACCCGATCCTTAAAGCCTGCAAGTTGGCCCTGAACCAGTGCCATCAGCTCATCGGCTGCTCCTCATGCAAGCGTGAGCCACTGTTCGTGATGTTTCTCTGTTCTGTCTGCGAGCAGTGTCTGACCTGTTTTGAGACCTTTTACGACTCGCACCAGAGGCGATTGCGAAGTAGGAGTATGACCTCCTCGTCACTGGAAGCAGTTTCATCAATGCATCCGAGGCGCGCTCGGAAATGGATCAGCTTGGGGAGATTGTGCAATTGGCCAATTTGCCGTTTGGCGATGTGCCGGTATTGTTGGATGATGAGGATGATATCAACATGACTTGTAGCTTGTTGACCACGCGAGTGGTCGAAAGATAATGGCCAAAGTAATGTAAAAACAAATAATTATCCATTAGAAGACTACATATTGACAGTTTTGCAAGGCCTTAGGTGTCTTTGGCTGGCACAAGAAGAGCCGTCTTGGAGTTGACTTTGCTAAACAGGGGTTGCTGCAGTACTGCAACCCGAAGTCAATATATTTGCATTTTGATCTACCTTGAACATAGAGTAAATATTACCTACCATTTAATGGTAGAACGATGCTTGAAGTTTTATAGAATTATCTGATGAACTTGAGATTTGTCTACTGACTTGTGAATTAGTCTTCGCTGAATGAGAAGCAATATGTAACGTAACAACTCGACACAGCTCTAGCGGCCGTAAATGTTTTCTATGATCTCTCTCTGAAGTAATACGCAGTCAAGCAAAGCATAATTGCGTTCCCAGACAGTTTTATTCATTTAATCTGCCACTTGGGCTCTCAGTCTCAATACCAGTTGCTGCAGCCTCCCGTACAACCTTTTGGTGGCTTGTACAATCAAAATAGGTAGGGTTATACGGAGTGCATGGAATTTATTCTCCACCCATACTACTTTCACGAAGCCATCTTGTTGGCTTTCGATATCAATACATACCTGGAGAGGGTACATGGCACCGTGACGCACTATCTAAACATAAGAAAATCTGTTCACGTTTTCTCCATTTTGAAAAAGATATGGGAATGTTGATCTATTTCAATTCCATCACATGGCCGTACGATGCAATGCAATAAATGTCTTCGATTTCACCGGCCTTCGGTCGTTCCTCTTCTGGGCGTGATCGGACAAAGCCCCATACGGCAAAGCCCTAAACCTGCGGATGTGCATAGCGAATCAAGTCATGTCAGAAAATCTGTCTCACTTTTAAGAAGCGTTCAGTCCAAGTGAAACAATAAGAAACCCTGATCGCATGCCCTTATGGTACTGTGGACTTCTTGTCTCTAAAACCATATTAGAGATTGTCACATAATATGGACAAACAAGCCTTCCGAGAAGAACCCCCGTTTCCCGAGGGCAGTAACTTGAAGTCATCGACTATGATAAACTGGTCAATGGCCCTGATTCTGACAAAGCCTGGCGTCTATTTGAGGCCTGCAAGCATTATGGGTTCTTTTACCTGAAGCTGGACCACAGTGAGAAGGGCCAGCAGCTACTCGACCTCGTCAAAGAGACCTTCACTCTGTAGAAGAAGGTCTTTGACCTGCCTTCCGAGGAGAAACGTCCTTACGATACGGGCCAGTTTCTAGGGTACGTGCACCTATAGCCCTATGTGGCCTTCTTAGACCTCTCACCGGATGCACAGATACACTGCCCCTGGCGGAACAGTCATTGACCGTAACGGCACTCGAGACCGCATGGAAGTATGGAATGTAAGTCGACAGGTAATTCCATAAACAATAGCAACTGTCTCACATGCCATCTCTACTCTTAGCTCGGGAAAGACGATATAATGAAGCCCGGCTACAGTATACCCAAGCCGCCTCTCTTGCTTGACAGTCAGAAAACCCTCCAGTCCTTCACGCAGAGCTGCCATGAAGTTGCTTTGACCATCCTGGCCGCCCTGGAATCGCTCATCGACCTCCCAAACGGCACATTCGCCGACTTGCACCGACTTTCCGCCGAGTCCGGAGACCACGTCCGGTTCCTGAAGGCTCTTCCTCAACCAGACACGGACCGTCGCACCGCGCTGGGTGAGAACACTGACTTCGGCAGCATCACAGTTCTCTTCAACCGTCTGTCAGGATTGCGCGTGCTCGAGCCTGGCCGTCAGTACGGCGAGAACCACTGGGAAGAATGGCCGTGGGTACAGCCACAACCCGGTCATGCGATCATCAAACTGGGGGATGCGTTGGTGAAGTTCACAAACGGCCTCATTCGCTCGAATTTGCACCGCGTGGACCCTCCCTTGGGCATTCAGAAGCTCGTGGATCGGTACTCCCTCATCTACTTCTCGAGACCGCGCAACGATGTAGTGCTGAAGCGCCTGCCTGACAGTGGGTTTATTCCATCGTTAGCAGATGGAGTTGTGGAGGAAGAGCTCACGAGCAAGGAGTGGATTGAGCGACGTGCAGCTGGGAAGCGTCACGGCAAGTTCAAGGGCCCGTAGCACTGGGACCGTATGAGTGGCACGGAAAAGGCTTCTCCTCTCGTTGTAGTCTAGCTTGCTTGCTCTATTGCTTGTGTGTACGAGGCTCGTAAATTTTTCTTGTCTCATTTTGCAATTTATGATACGATATGATGTTTTGTGGGCGGTAGGGTGCCAGACCCGAACCGCAAAATGTGAAGATTGTCATCAATGGAAATCCTATTCGGTCCGAGTCGAGTGTCAGAGGGGTGGTTATGCGAATACTGAGTAGATACTTAAATTGAGCGAGATGAATGTCTTCAGTTTGAACTCCTAATTTGTCGACGGTCCTACGAGTTACGAGTATATACTGCCAATTTATTCTTGGGAACATGATGCAGAATACTAGTTTGCACAGGTCGACATACAAATTAAAACTTGTCATCTTTTCTTTCTTTCTTTCTTTCTTTCGTTCTTTCTTTCTTTCTTTCTTTCTTCTAAAACGCTAATAGTATCCTCCAACACTTCTGTCCTGGATAGAGGACTGATAGAATAGACGGACCACCCGCGTAAAAATAATATATGTGTAAAGATAATATCAAGAGCATCTAGGTATAGCAACCTTCTCAATCTTGGGTCGATCACTATCAAGTAAAAAAAATAAATTCCTGGAATATCTAGAGTCACAATATAATTCGGCCTTCAAACGCCCTCTTCAACTCTATGTATAGTAATTATCTTTTCTCTTTTCTTTTCAAATTAAAGACATGAGAATAAACTTACTCTGGATAACGATATTTTCGAACTTACCTCAGCGCTAATGCACTGGTGCCCTAATTTTGGACTGCATGGCGGCTAGTGGCCGGCCCCTGATTAAAGGAAGAGAAATTTACTAGTAGGGGACTGAAAGTGCAGGAGAGTTTGACACTGCCTTCTGTTGTGGTAAACGGAAGTGACGGGTTGAACTAAAAGAGAAATAGCCGGGGAGAGTAATCAGAGACAGACATAGGCAAGGATGGGGGGAGAAGGTGCTGTCGTGGTACTCTTGTGAAAGTAGCCGAGCCCATCAGGGATCAAAGGCTCGAACCCTGATCACGGAAGCTTGGGAAGCTTTTATAATCAATAAGCTTTTTTGTTAAATATAGCAAGTGGGCTGGTGGATCAGAAACCTACAATAATAGGAATATTGATAGTAAGCGCTAACCTCAGTATTTGTCCTATTTGGATGATTGAAGCTGAGATTGCCCGCGGGGGTTCGGGGACGGAGTCGGGCAATCGGGGCATTGGATTATGGGGGGCCTTGACTACATCTTCTGTGTATTAATGTTATGTTTGATGGTAAAGTACCGGGTTTTAACTGTGCATAGCTCGTCGTTAATGCCGATAGCTCCGTCCTCCCCGAGTCGTTGGAATTTGCTTGCCCTATCAGTCCCCCTTCAAGGACCCTTCCCCTCCTTCTCCTCTTCCACATTCTTAAATCAATGAATCGCTTCCCCGCCTTTCCTGCCCTCAGAAGATTGTCTCACATTGCCTTAACCCTTTCTTCATCTAGGCTGCACAAAATGACTTCTCTTGACAGCACAATTGTCCTTATCACCGGCGCTAACCAGGGGCTCGGCTTCGAGGTCGCCAAAAAGCTGGCTACCGACCACCCGGGCTACCACGTGCTCCTGGGCTACCGCGATGCTGCCAAGGGTGAAGAAGCTATTGCCAAGCTCAGAAGCCAAGGACTGACCGTCGACGGAGTGATCATCGACGTGACCGATGACACCTCCATTCAGTCGGCTGCCAAACAGGTGGCAGACCAGTTCGGTCGGTTGGACGTCCTCATCAACAACGCCGGTGTGATCACCGAGGGCCGCTTGCCCGAAGGCACCTCCCTCCGCCAAACCTGGCAAGCGGGCTTTGACATCAATACCACGGGCCAAGTCGTCACTACGGAATCCTTTATCCCTCTGCTGGAGAAGGCCGCTGTGCCGCGGATTGTCTTTGTATCCTCAGCCTTGGGGTCGTGTACCGGCCGGCTGGACCCCAAGGATCAATTTGCTGCCTTTCAACTCCCTGCCTACCGCAGCTCCAAGGCGGCACTCAATATGATCGCCTGCCATTACGCCAATCTTTATGGGCCCAAGGGATGGAAAGTCAACGCGAGCGACCCGGGATTCTGCGCCACCAACTTCAACCGTTTCCGCGGCTGGGGCACCCCGGAGAGTGGTGCACTGCAGACGGTTCGCCTCGCGACTTTGGATAAGGATGGACCAAATGGTACCTTTAGCAACACCGATGGGCCACTGGGATGGTAATATCGCCGTGTAATGGTTGGAATACTTTATTGAGCATCTTAACGGATTGAATACGATAACTGCAGCTGAATGGAGCAAGATTGGACTCCGTGTAACTAGAACCGTAGCCAACAATGGGTATGCTGCACAAAAAAAGAACTAATGATAGGTTCTCAGAGAATGGTCACTAAAGCAGTACAATAACACGACTACGTAATTGCATGAGAGTCAAATTCGCTGCTGCTCTTTCGCCGAACTTGCCCTCACACCATCCGACCCCCCTTCGGCCATTACCACTTCGAGAATATCCCGAATGTGCAATATGCCCATCACGCATTAAGCCCAGAGGTATCTATAACACTAATTCATTCCCGAACAACAGGGGACATCTCCCCATCCACATTCCTGCCTTTGAATCCAACAGTATCCCCAACGGAAGAAGTCTACTCATCCACAATGAGGCAGGTCCTTTCGGGAGGGGAAGATAGAGCAATTGGAATCCAAGGGAATCCGATCTGCTGACTGGACTGCACCATCCTGATCTTGATACTTGGAGGAGGGCATATTGATGACTTCGTAGCGCATTCGGACTCAATGATTTACTCCATCTTGGGAAGATGGGATCCTCACTTGTTCGTTATATTTAGCTTGATTCGGCGGTGCTTTAGGGTCACCGATAACTAAGCTCCCTCTTCGGGATTACTGAATGTATACTAGTACTTTTTGTTCATGCCAACCGGGGGCCGTAGGAAGCGAATACATATACCACGCCAGACCTTGCTTTTTCTTCTACTTTGCATGACTGTGTGTCCTTCATTTCATTTCTGATCAACATGTATCAGGTAAGGAAATTCAACCAGGGCGCCCTATTACCGTATTGAGATGGCCCGATGCTGGCTAACCCATTTGGAGAGGCTCCGCGACTAGACCGAATGCAGAATGCCCGGCCATGAAGGCCTCGATGTTGTGCTTATTTCAGTTGGGAAATCATGTTGTAGACATGAATTAGAACAAATTTCCTATTTAAGGAAGTGATACAATCGCCCCCTCCTTCCCATTTGTGGACACATTGCTACTAGGTAATACGCTGGATCCTGCCACAAAAACCGTCGAGGCAAGTCACAGCCTCGGGTAGGCACCATGGCTGTCTCCAGCTTACATGGGCTGTATCGTCTAGGAAGTAATGTCGCTCCATCATTGTGGTCCAACCCTCAATACGCGATTAGCCCAGTTCTCATCGCGGTATGTAGTACTATAATTCCATCCTGGTCTCTCACCTACCCCAGGTCCAATCAATCCCCACTAAACCACCATCCAGCTTCCCACCTATTTCACTGCCCTCGCTCTATACAACCTCTACTTCCACCCGCTCTCCAACTACCCAGGCTCCAAATACGCCACCATCTTCCCCGTCTGGTATGCTTATGCTCTCCTCCGCGGTAACTTCCACGAGGATATGCGCCACCTCCACGCCCATTACGGCCCCGTCGTGCGCTATGCCCCCAACGAACTCTCCTATATCGACCCCCGTGCCTGGACGTCCATCTACAGCGGGCGTCCCACGGGCACTGAATTCCCTGAACTAGGAAAAGACCCCACATTCTATGCGGGCTTTGCTTCGGGCAACAAGAGCATCACCACGGCAGGCTTCCACGACCACAACCGCTTCCGAAAGAAGCTGGCCCCCGCGTTTGCGGAGAAATCAATCCGCGAGCAAGAGCCCATCATCAAGGGGTATGTGGACTTGTTCGTCCAGCAGTTGGAGCAGCGCGCGGGCGAAGTGGTGGACATGAGTGCTTGGTTTAATGTGAGTTTCCGTGTGCAGGAGCGGCAACGATGAACCCCCTCTTTCTTGTTCTATCATGTTAATAATCTAGGGAGACAGTTCTGCACCTTTGACATCATCGGCGACCTAGGCTTCGGTGAGCCCTTCGGTTGTCTCAAACGAGGCGCCTATGACGACTGGGTGCGCTTGATCTTCCTAGCTCTCAAAACGAGCATGCTCATACAGATCAGCGCGCGATTTCCCGGTTTGCAATCTCTCCTGCTGTGGTATCTGCTGCCGGCGGAGTTGGCGCGCAAGCGGCTGGCGCATATCGCCAAGGCGACCGAGAAGGTGATGCGCCGACTGGGTAAGGAGACAGATCGCAAGGACTTCATGCAGTATTTGTCAACGGGAGCGCCGGAGCTGTCATTTGCCGAGTTAGCGAACAACTTGTCCACGCTGATTGTGGCGGGGAGTGAGACGAGTGCGACCTCGTTGGCGGCGGTGACGTTTTACTTGCTGAAGAATCCGGAGAAGATGCGCAAGCTCAGGCAAGAGATTGAGACAGCCTTCAGCGTGGAGGAGGAGATCACAATCCAGTCCGTGGCTGGCTTGAAGTACCTGACTGCGTGTTTGGAGGAGGGTTGGAGATTGTATCCGCCAATTCCCTCGGGGTTGCCGCGACAGGTGCCTGGGGAGGGGTTTGAATTTGCTGGGCGATGGGTTCCAGGCGGGGTGCGTCTTGAATCTGCTTGTTTTTTCCCTTTTGTATTGAGGAGAGCTACGCACTGACTGACGACTAATTAGGCCGCTGTATCCCTTCATAGCTGGGCAACGTCGAGGTGCCCCGAGAACTTTCGTAACCCGGACGATTTAATTCCGGAAAGATGGTTGGGCGACCCAGCGTACAAGGACGATAACTTGCAGTCAGTCCAGGTGTTTCATGTTGGACCTCGAAATTGCATTGGAAAGAGGTGAACATTCTCGTTTGCTCATAGTTGTTGTATGGGTAGGTCGTTCGACTGACAACGCTTTTCTAGTCTGGCCTATGCCGAAATGCGTCTGATTCTTGCTCGTCTACTTTTTCGGTTTGATCTGCAGCTTAGGCCACATAGCTCCAACTGGGCGGAGCAGATGTCGTACATGGTCTGGGAACGAGGGCCATTGGATGTCCGCGTGACAGAGAGAAGGACTGCTTCCGATAGATTGTAGAGTAGGGAATGCTATGTATAGAATTAAAGGGACTCACCAGTCAAGCATATTCCACTCCCTAGGGTTGGAGAATACACGTCATGGCTCGTTTTAGAAACGGTAGGCGAAGTTTCATCTTAGTAGGCGTTTGCTCCCGTAGCTTGAATCTTAGCTTATCTTCTCCAACCATTCCCCCAGCCCCAGCAAAGGGTCAAGTTGCCTACCAAGCAACTTGCCAACGGCCAGAGTCCTGCTTCTTCCGACGCCCAGTAGGTTCCATACTAGTCTATCATGTTGGTTTCCGAGTCGCAGTATAAGCCGGTCATTTACGACACCCTGTTGGACGATCGCGTGCAGGGTCTGATCAAGACCACATTGCTTCAGCCCGAGCACGCGATCGTCAACACCTACGTGCGGCGCTTCGACCACAGTCTCTACAAGTACATATATCACAAGGATTTCGGACTTAGAAGAGAACTTGGTCCAAATCACATGATGCAAAAAGAACTCCGTATCCGAGCAAAATTACTAGTGCAGTTTATTGACTACTGTGTATTGAAACACACAACCATATACAAAGCAACTAAGATAAGAGCAGCACGGCTAATTGCAACAAAAAAATTTGAAGTTACCAATACTGTAGTATTGATTTAGCTCGGCTAACTAATCTACTACGTCTTGGTGGTGTCAATGACACCCCGCACAAGCACTTCCATATAAGGACGTCTGTTCCCTGTAATCTAAGTCCACTGATAATCTTCTTCTATACACTCCATTTCTTATCCCGACGCGATTTGCTTATAGCTTTAAATTTCTCAACCAACATATCCGTTACCATGAACGACCCCTTGAAACAGTATCTAAAATTCTCCAATGCGGACCGACAGTGTGTGTCCCTCGTATTATTACAGCCCATCGGAAAGATACTGACATAAGGGATCGGAAAGTCCACATACTCCAGCCCTGGAGGTAATTCTAACTGCACCCAGAAACTTCTATACTGAAAGCCCGAACTTGAATCTCGTTACAGTGACTATCACGCGGTCCGAAAAGCACCAGGAACCCAAACCATGCTACTTCTACTGGTCCCCCAGCACCGATGAAGGATTCAGGGTCTTTCGTGACTCGCCCAGTGAGGGCCTAATGGAGGTGGAGGTGCAGTCAGATTGCCCCTCACCAATAACGCGGCAATCAAACCCTCTTCACCTCTGGTACTTGGGTGCCGATGATGAAGCCGTGTCGTGGGAAATCCCTCTTGGGGAGACTCTATCTCGATCCGTTATAAAAAGTGAATGGATCACATACGAGCTCTTCTGGCCCGGAGGTGAGGTACATCTTTGGGATTGGGGATCGAACGATACAAATAAAGAAACGTTGGAAGTCACGGAGCTGGAGGCGAAATCGACCCCGATGACACTGCCTGGGGGCGCACGATGCTCTTTCACATTAATCGAAGGTAGTGCGCCCCCACCGCGGCCAAGGCGTTCAAGTTCTCCTGTGCTCGAAGTCGATCCCAACACTCTGTGAGTACTTCTCTGCTCATTCGTGTGTAGTAGTAGATTGCTAACATCAGCTAAGTGCCCCAGGCGTACCGATTCTTACCCTCGAGATTGAAGCACCGCCGACATGGAGAACCCAAGAAGCCTGGCCTTTGACCTGGAAGCTTACCTACCATGGGGTATCGGGAGATGGGATTCCTCGACCGATTACCTTCTCAGTCAATGACTTGTATGCTTGGGAGGCATCTTGCTTCTATCGGCGTAGTCCGGAAACGGGAGAGTGGAACTCCTGGCGCAGTTATTGTACGGCTGGATATGCTGTGTTCGAGGAAGAAGATGTTCCGTGCGCAGTGGGTACAAGCGACGGTTTTATGTCGCTACAGCCCAACGAGACCTGGACTGAAGTGCGAGAGCTTGAGACTATGATTGATCTACCAGAAGATGCTCGAGATGGAGAGGTCATGCGACACCTGTTCAAAGGATGCAGGTTAAGTTGGTGGGACTGGGGAACAAAGGAAGATCATATAGATACCATTGTATCAGTCATCGGATTCGGCGTGATTACAAGTCCACCCGATAATGATGGACGGCCAGAGGTGGTGATACCAGCTTCCGATATGGTAGAGTTTACAGTTGTGAACTAGAAGTTAAGACAATTGATTGTTCGATTAATGACTTAGCGTCGGGTATGATATAGCCATGGTACCCCCTTCGAGCCGCTAATAGTACTAGCCGGTAGAAGGAGAAGCTCCCTGCTTTAGCTATGGGGATTTGATGTCCATATAGAACTACCTAATGATTGAGTCGGAATGGTAGCATGATTCCTAGTATTATAACTACCCGACTTATTCTATATCATTCCTGCTACTTGAACATACTAGTGTATGGTTCAACTCTATCATAGCTTCAGTATAAAAGAGCTATCACTAGCCTTGACTAGCCTTAACTACAGCGTCAAGAAACTGACATGCTTACGAAATAGAGAGAACTACAGGGGTATCTGTGCTATGAGATCATATTGTCTATTTTCGTTTCCCATACAAACCAGCGGACTGGGAATTTCTTTAGCTGTAATGGGAATTAAGTCTACATCATATGGTCCGATGCCTGTCAGCAGCTGACCAACTCAGCCATTGACTAAGAGAGACACCAAAAAACAAGGCCTTGGGAGCGGTGAATAACTGGCAATGTACACATCAACCGACTCAATCATCTCCTATTAGCCAGTAACGGCTCAGTCTCGCCATCCTCCGCCAACTGCCAGTGCTTCCTGTTCCTACACGCCAACCACAGCAGAATCACCTGAACCAGCGCAAAGACCGCACAGTCCACAGCCGTCCAACCAACAGAAACATACCAGGTATACAGCGCAAACCACGATGCAAAAACATTCCAATCAGGATCGAGATATACAAACCGGAATGGCCAACTCAAAGCAAGAACTGTGAACACAACTGCTTGGATCGCAAGTCCTGGAAGACTCAAAGCCCGCGGCGGCGACACCCCCTTTAGCAATTTCGGCGCCTGACAGAACACAGCGCTGAATGAAAGAAGTGTCATGACCGGGTTGACAAATATGAGATGGACACCACTCCAGAGAGCGAACTGCCACTCAATCTCGCTGGTGGGCGGATCCTCGCCTCTACGGGTTGTGAGGACCACGCATACTGGGGGAACGACGGCTACGAGGAGGTAGGCAATGTATGATAAGGCCGCGGAGCGCTTGACTCGGAAGGATGAGTCGGAGGGGTATCGCAGGCTTAGTGTAAATCTTTTTCAGGAGTTGGAGTCAGTATAAGTCTCTCGAGTGGTAATGAATGCATATGTAAACTCACGTAAGGCCAGAAAGTATCCAGACAACAGTGATTTGAATAAGATTCATCCAGTCTCCTAAGGAGCCGGGATTCTCCACAAACATATTCGGCTCTGCATCTGGGGTGTTGTTGTAAAGAAGCACAAGCAGAAACTGCTCTGTCGCACAGATGAGGTTTATAAGTACATAGTTGATTGAAAGACCTGAGCTATTTTTGGTTGCCCAGAGGAGTCGCAGTTGGGGTAGGAATGAGAAGATGCTCAGACCCATTAAGAAGCTTTAGGACAGAGTCAATGCTAAGTCCTTCACATGAGAGTTGAATCTATCCGAGTTACGCACATTCGGAGCCAAGAGGGGAGGAGTGATTTCGTGATCATCGCGCTTTGATATAGTGGGTGATTGGGTCTAGAATCCGAGACGAACGTGTAATATGAGGGGGCATAGGGTAATTATACAGTTATCGTACTGTGAGAAGGGTGACAGATTGGGAAGGAGAAGATTAAAATTGCGTGTGGGGCCTGACTGTAGGCCAGGTACCAGATCGAGTAAAGTCGAAAACTTAGGGATATTGTGTATAATATGATACTTTGCGTGGTAGGCTAGAAAAGGACATACTGTGATTGCTGCCTGATCTTGCTACATATTTCCTCCACTTCTTTGAGCTAAGGGTTCAGGTCTCATCATAGTAGCAGCTTATCTCCATCCACCTTTCTACCTGGCTGAATACTTATCCGCCACTAGGTTCATTTGATTCACCATGCCCATAATAGTCCATAAAGGTCCACGCACGCGATAGTACCTACTACTTTGTAAGTAGTCCGAGTGTCTAGCTTATCTTGGCGTCGGCGGCCCGTTCGGTCTTTGTCCAGTCGCTTGCCAGAGGCATCACCGATGGGGATGGTAGCGATGTTGAAGGTAATGCCCGTGTTGCTCTACTCCACGCTTGGAATGAGCCTTTATCAAGGGATACGCAAGGCTAGCGTCAGCTTTGCTATCTCAATCGAATTGGGCTAAAGGTGAGTCTTGCCACTACGCTTGGACTTGCCGCAGCATCACTGCTAGCGGCAACAGCGACGGACGAAATTGGAAGATGCGAACTTGTTGATACGACAGCCTCATACCATAGCCCTGCGGTTGGCTTTGGAGAACAGCCGCCAAACACAAAGCCCTTATTGGGTGCAATGGCTACCGCCGTCGCACGGTAAAGGTCACACTGGCTCGAATGTCCGATATAAGACCAGGCTTGGCATTTCATTGTTTGGCCACACCAATGTTCACATTCGCTTGCTGTTTCGATATGGAAGCTGTATGTGATGGGCGCGCTGCTGAACCAAGCAAATGTTTCGTTATAAACATTGGTCCAGCACTCTGAAGTGGCCTCGGCGCCGAAAGTAGCTATAGCAGCAGCAAGCATGAGAGAATGGCTGAATAACATCGTAAGATATGGGATTACTGCTAGTATTAACGAAATGAAAGGAGAAGATGATGGTGGCACAGCCGAAAGAGAGCTGTCTAGCAGCATGAAATATATATCGTGAATATTTTATTCATTACTAGACGATCGGTTATTTTTCATGTTTTGTCCGTTGAACCTTCACCAAGCTACAATTCTGTGTTTTTACTACAGACACCCGATGATTAGGAGTGCATGACTAGTAGTGAGCTAAAGAGCTACCTTTTAGATTAGAACCGCTTAGATAGTCATTTGCCCCTTTTGGAGCAGCCCTTCGAAAACTCGCATCGGTTTCTTTCGGCTACATTGCGGTGCAAATGTAATGACCAACAATGATGGCAGTTGTGAAACAATGCTTGTTCCTGCTCTACCGCTGGGCAACCTCTTAGTTTGCTACAAGAAAGCCAGCTACTGGAAGAGGCATTATAAATACGAACTTCTAAGAGTACCAGGTGCAAAGCATTATACCCTGTAGTAATAAGAACACCTAACAACGAGGGGGGAAAATCCGTAATTTGTCCTCAAGCGTGACATCCTGCGAGAGCTGGAACCCTAGGAAATCAGTGCCGCCGATTAGCAGGCAATTTGGACTGGTGTGCTGAGTTTGAATCATGAATCGGGTGAGGATCAAGTAATCTCTGCTTCGCCTAGCAAATTAGCAATGGGTCTAGGGAATTCGTCGAGCTCTTTCATCCACAAAGATTATACGGATAGATACCTGTGCCACTACCACTGTGGGTCTTCTTAATTTTTTTATATGGCTCAAAGAGCGGATTGAGCTATGGAGCAAGTGTAATGAACGCACACACTAGTAGTCAAAGCTGTTCAGCCTTCAGAAGTCGAGACTGGAGGTTCGTATTATCTATTATTCTCATACAAATTAGTGGATCTTCTGTTCAGTCCTTGTATGGAGGGTTTATCAAAATTATGTCGAACTATCTTTAATGAGTAATTATATGTAAATATGAATAGGACAGCTAGCTACCTAATCTTTCCATATTCACCCCAACCAACGGTTACTGTCAGTCTCTCTTTTGTCGTATAGTCCCTCCTTTATTACAAAACTTTTCGTATCCCTTCCTACTTCCTTACTCTCTTTTCTTAAGACCTATTCTTTCCACTTTTTCTTCGATTTCTGATAGACTGCATACCGATGCCCAACAGAGTATGAGGCTCCTTTCTCTCATTTGGTGGACCTCATGGCTCGTTCCAAGTCATGTGCGGGTAGCAGCTGTGTTTGCGCACTTTATGGTATGCCTATTGATCATAGTTACTTCTTGAAAGTTTTTCAATGAGAATGCTGACCCTATATATTCAAATCCAGGTGGGGAATGTTCCTACATGGGATGCTGCCACTTGGGAAGACCACATGCTCGAAGCTATGGATGCTCATATTGATGCATTTGCACTCGACATTGCAAATGGTTGGTATGCCAACAATGCTTCGTTGGCTCTGGCATTTCAGGCTGCTGAGACTGCTGGATTTCAACTTTTTTCTCCTTTGATTATGCCGGAAATGGATCGTGGATGAAAGAGGATGTGATCGCTCTCATCAGTCAGTACGGAGGATCAAGCGCTTATTACCACTACAATGATCAGCCCTTTAGACGGGCTCACTCTCCCCGACGCGGCCATCTGCAACACCACACTGGGCACAGATCCAGACCCTTACGCAGTAGCCATGTGTCGATTAGCTCTCCGGATCGCTGGCGAGCCGGAAGGACGTGAGGCTCAGCTCTTTGCCCAGGCCCAAACAGACATCGCCAACAAGAATTATTCGAGCCAGGATATACCATTGTTCACGCCTGACAGACAGATCAAAACCTTTCATCCTAGAAGCAACGGCATGCTTGCATTCCGTGATGCTGTCTTGGCGGCGCTTTACTTCTAGCAAGATTCATATGATCTCAAGACGAAGGAGCAGGAACTGGTTGAACGGTTGAATGGTATGTATGAATCTATCTAGGTTCCCAAGATGTTATGGGAAAGAACCAGCTGATGTCTAGCTAGATTGAATGTCTCGACGTACGATGATCAAAAAGGGGAAGGTGTAGAAGGAACACATGACACTACCCGGCCGTATCAGGGGTGTCGAGGCTAGTTTGACCCTTGATAACGATGCACAGTCTACTGAAGGTGTGAGAGAGTCACTTGTTCGGATTTATGGATCAGTCGAAACTACAATACCAAGTGAACTGTGAGTTAGATTAATAACGACTAGAGTCAATTAATGTCACGGATAAATTTTGATTTTCGTGATATATGATAATTAACCTTTGCTTCATAGTATCAGTCGGCCGTAAGTTGGCCAACCCATCTCAGCTTCGCCGCATGATGTCAATGCAGGAGTAAATATACCACGTCATTCTCTTCAATGCTGAGCGCGTCATGAATATGACCTTATTTCTTACCCTAAACAGGTGTCATACGTTTCTGAAACTGAGTATGCTTTTTTCAGTACATATAGCTTTCAGCAGGCCTGTGTAGAATAAGCAATAACTTTTTAATATCTTCTTGGAATAAACCAATTAAAGAACTAAATATCAATGGCTATATGCCATCGAAGGTTCGATTCCTTTTCTTCCTAATCAAATCATAATTTCCAGCAAATAGTGATCTTTAATGAGACCAATTCATCCCTAGCAACTTGCATAGCTAAACTTTTATCTAGCCGAGGGCGGTCCCACGTTTTCCGAATGAGCTTATAGAAGAGTCGAGTAAACTGATAATCGTAGCTGACTTCGTCCTAGCTTCAATATGATCGAGGAACCCGTCTGAGGTATCTCTAGATGAAGGTTCCACAATTGACGGATTTATGGGTGATTTGCCTGACACTACGGCAGAAGTAGACACAGAATAGTGGATGATCCTACGAAGCCTCGTGCACGATCTCTAGTGGGGACCCAGTCAAGAGAGGAACCACCAGTTGCTACTAGGGCGCTCGGGCCTAAGAACGGGGAACCGCCGGCTGTGGCAGTGCACGAGACGAGACCACCACTACTATCTACTTTGTACTCAGGGCACAAATTTAATAATAGTCTCAGGCTCGGTGTACCTCGGTCTAGCTCAGCAAGGTGCAAACATGCTTTAGCGTCATTTCTGGTTTGGACGGCAACATGCTATGAGACAAGCCCTGGGGTTGAAACAGTCGGTCTTGCATGGGCGGTACTAGGCTCCATGCATGTCAGACCGAGGGGTAGATAAAAAATAAAAAGAAAGGAAGAATAAAAAGTAGAAGGAGAAGGTGTGAAGTAATATAATGGTGGTTGTGGTTGGTAAGCACGATGGAGGAAGAAAGCCGACCGCGGCAAACTGACAGAGTACAGACTGAGTGTACAGACAGCAGCTGCTAGATTGGGCGGGGATTGACCATTCGGTGGTTGCCGCTAATTGTAGGCGAGACGGACGGGCCGTGGGGTCCAAAACAGTTATAACGGCGGTAACTACCGGGACCAGCCTAGTCAGTAACCAAATCAGTGAGCCGGTAAGTCGGATGTATCCCTAACTAACTACATGTCAGTGATGAGTAAAGACCGACCGAAGGGGGGAAGAGACTCCTACCAGAAATGGTACCTGGAATAAAGACTGGGATGATGAGAGACACATGGAGGGGTAACGAGCTGACTAGTGAGTAACAATTAGTTATTAGCAGTGACTAGAATCACTAGATGGTAGATACAGCTGTTAGTACGAGGTTCTAGTTTAGCTTAGGCTATTTGGCCCCTTCGTTGTGCCGCTCATCCTCTCAGGCACACCGTAAGCATTCTATGCATCCCAAGTCGGTCATTATCCCCATGCATCTAACCTGCCAGGATCATTGGACGAAGCAACAATAAAGTCATGCTTCGTGAAACATGCCCTGAAGCTTCCCTACGCAACCGAGTCAAGCGAAGGAGCCCTAAAGCGAGCCAGATCCCTTCCACCTGCAATGATGGGGAGGAGAAGAACCAGGGGACAGCAACTAGTTGCTCCGTCTAGTTGCAGCCTGGGGCCGGTACCTTACTGCTTTGGTCGCTCTCTCCACCCGCAATCCCTGTTCCCCGTCTCCATCCGTCTCCATCTCCTGCCAGGAATGATCTTCTCCGTTTCCACTCTTGCGCACACACTGCCCACTATCCTTCTGTCACATTCGATCCAGCCCGGACCATCGCCTATCAAAGTCCCAATGGGTCCTCCCCCCCCCCCCCAAAAGCTATGACGGTTCCCACACTGGCCTCTCCAATAACAATTCCCCATTCCTTTCAACTGTCGTTGGTTCTCCGATGGCTAACACCACCAATGCGTTACTAGCAAGGGATTACTTCTTAACTTATCATCAACCAACGAGGCTGGGGCGTCTGCAACCCCTCCCGTGTCCATGAGCGGGCCGGATGACTGGGTGACGGGCTGCGAGCAAATCAGCAAAGCGTGTAAGACAGACACGCAGCCTCGCATAAGCTGGCCACGAAAAATTCGAGGAGGGCTGCAGGTCACCGACATAAGGCATTTTCGTCCTAGTACGGCATGGTTGCTTTCACCCCCCCAATCAGTCGGGGTCACCTGGCAGCAGGCGGGCACGGCGCCTCAACCTGCTTTCTTCCTTCTCCTCTTACTCTGAAACAACTTCTTCTTTGTCGCTGCGGCTCTCTGTCGATGATCGGATCTCCTTGTCGTGCCCTCCAAACCAGTCATCTGGTGATCGAACTTTAGTCTGCTCGCTCGCTCTTATGTCCGTGGCCTGCCATCCCGGTTCTCCCCATGTCACATCCGCTGGTGGCAGCCGTGTGGGAACAGCTGGGCCGCCGTGATCTTGCCCACATCCTACGCGAAATCATCGGAGAGCATGCGCTGGACATCGCGCTCTACCAACAGGATGCCAAGGCATCCCTTGAGCCTCTCACCCGCTCCGTCTTCTGGATCAAGACCATCTTCGACGCCCAGCGAACCTATCTTCAGGGTTTGAGCCATGTTCGCGACTGTCACCCTTACTTCCTGCCCTATCTGCTCCCCACCGAGACCATCTTCTCGGCTCTGATGTACCTAGTCAAAGTCAAAGTCGAGCTCTTTCCCTCCCATAAATCGACCGATGGCGACTTCATTCGATACAGGCTCCTCATCGCGCATACGCTACTCACAGGTATTCGAGTGCTCCTGTTGCGCGGGGAGGCGATTGATACCGACCGAAAGTTCCAGTTTGAGCGAGCCATGAGAGCGGCCTGGAGGAACCCGGACCTTTTAAATGTCGAGCGCTTCCTGATTAGTGATTTTCTGCCCAAGGCCCTAACTAGTATTGGATCTCCAGATCTGTCAACGAGTCAGGCCTTCCTGTTGGACTGTGGAAAGCCCTTTCTTCCTCCTTTCGCAACAGGTCTTGTGAGTGTTGTTGATGAAACATGTTGTGATGGGACAGAAACTTACTGCTTCTTAGTATCCACTTTCGGGCGCTCCAGAGAGGCTTATCACTGATCTTCTGACGAACGTGATGAAGAATGATGCGGATCAGTTGGTGTCCTTCTGTCTCTTATTTGATATGCTTTGGGCAGTAGACTCCGCCATCATCCAGTGTCACATTGATCGCCGTCGGATTTCCCAAGAACAGGGCTACACCAGTCCGGCAGCATATAAAGTGGACGAGTCCTTCAATCAAGCACAGGAAATCAAGAAAAAGCTCACAAGGACGGTCCTGGCTGCCTTCGATGACGAGTTCAATACCGCGCCTCTTCGCATTTTCGCAACGATCATCTTAAGTCAAACTGCCGAAGAACACCCGCCCCTACAGACACGGAGGATTCGGGATACTTGGCATCAAATGGCTCCTATCCGGACTTCATGGGAGAAGGCATCTAGCCAGTTCGTGCGGTGGCTTATCAACCGCCGCGTGCAAATGTGGGATTGTAACGGGGAATTAGAAGCATTCTCCCATGATTATCAACAACACCTCACGCAGTGGTTGCAGAGCTCATCTGCAGCCGAAGCAGATCCGAAACCTCAACCTAAGACTTCCCGTGTCAGCGCAGTCTACGTCGTCAACTGCCCTGCGGTGCATCCGGTTCCTGGACCACTACTGGAGGAAAAATTAAAGGCCCATGACAAAGGTGCTTACGAGGTAGGAGCGGAATCTTGATGGTCCTGGTTGTGATTCTACAGTGTTAACGTTGATTAGCAATTACAAGGGAGCCCCGAATTTCTGACGATGGATATCGACTGTCCTCTATGCCCAGGCAATAAGAGGGTTCAGCATGCTCGAATGATCGAGCCTCTCGAGCAATTATCAGATGCCCTACATTTCTTCTCGGATTCGGAGGCAGAGCGGCGCCATTCTCTTCTGGATTCGACTTCGAGGGACACCACGTCCTGTTCCAGCTCTCTCAGTCATTCCACCAGTCAGTCCTCACGGCTCGAGTCCGACCCGTCAAAACGCCCGATTTCACCCAGCTCGAATCCAGCCCCGTTGTCGAAGGTAACGAGCAAGCAGGCTATCGCCACCACGACCGAAGTCTTCAGCCCGATTCTATCGCGGAGTAGGACGGACCAGTCGTTTGACAGGCAAGCTATCAAAACCCTTTCGCGCGACCTCAGAAATGTCAAGCTACCTTTTGGGGGCGGGGCATCGCTCTTCAGGAGAAACTCGGCCAGAGGACATCATTTACCTCGTCAACCTCGGTTCTGCTTCTCGACCTCGGGAAGCTGCCTGCTGTTCTGGGGTGCAGGCAGCAACTGGGTGATGAGGTTCGAAACAAGCGTCGGGGATGGAAAAAAGCCCAAGGGTCATAAATACGATATTCCGGGCGTGCAACAAGCCGCGGCTGGAGACCAGCGGTGCGCCGTCCTGGCTTCTGTTGGACAGGTGTGTATTCACCTATTGTCCTTGACTTCGTGAATTGGATACTAACAGACACAGCACTACGAGCTCGTCGTGTTCGAGAACGACAGCGATGTTCCTCAAGCGTACCTCACCATCGAGACAGAAAACCAGACCTTCCCCGTTACCTGCATGGTTATGTCACGCAACGATCGGTATGTTGCGTTCACCCTTCAAGACCAGGTCCGAGTATACGAGATATGCACACGAACTATCCAGAGAGTCTCGCTAGGTAGTGGCATGGATCGATCGTTGGACTTTGGCCACCGGTCTGTGATGGGCGCGTCCCCCAATGCCAAGGGGACGGCATATCAAGGAAAAAGACAGGAGGCTATCATCGAGAGGAAGTTGCAATTCTCTCCAGATGGAAAACACTTCGCCATTGCCACCCATCTTGGAGACCACTATGCCTACGTCGACGTGTGGAACTGCACGTTTCAGCAATGGAGCATTGTCCCTGACAAGTCGAAGTCGCTCAAGCTTCCATCAGTACGTATATTCGTTCTTCCAGCAAAATGATCTTGCCGCTAACTGTTCCTAGTGGACAAGCAACGACGGGGACTTTACGGGGGTGTTTTATGATGGGACACAGCATGCGGTTCTCCTGACGGCCTTTTTTGCGAAAGAATACCCCTCATTTTTCTCGATGTTGGATGACAAGACAACGAACGATACCTTTAGTACGCGAGTGGTGCATGCGGCGCAGTCCCCCTCCGGGACGCGATTCATTATAGCGAACGGAATGTGCGAAGTATATGTGGGGGATTCCAAGGCCAACGGGCGTCTTCAGCTGTCGCGGGTGAGAAAGGCTTCTTCCAAGATTAGCCCGTCTGTCTTCCGACCGGGACAACTGGCATTGTCCTTCCCTCAGGAAACCGAGGTGCTTGCCTTCTGGGTTAAGGCGGGCAAGCTGGTGCTGAGGTCGGTTCGCATGCAAGACGGCATTGAGACGACCAGCGACTGTGATCTGCGGTCTGATTTCGACCGACTAGTGGTGGAGCGGCCCATGGCAGCTGATTTCCATACTCAACGTCGACGGCATTCGTTGCTCTCGACCGAACTACTGGCCGAGATCGATGGTCTTCCCTCTCTTCCACGGCCCGATCTGCCAGAGCTATCGTCGACGTGATTCTGAAGGGAAAAAGGAACGTGGAGTCTGGCGGCTGACATTGGCGTTGGCGCTTTGGAATAAAAGGGCTACAATGCATTCTGGCTGTATGTGTGATGAGCTACTATATATTTTGATTTAATGTGCAATGAATGTATGAAATGTATGCTATCCATAATATCATATACTACTTACTTTCTTCCATAATAATTCCATAATAACTTATGTCAATTCGGGAGTGGCCGCTGTCGTGGCCCGAAAGAGACTAGTGCGGGGACGCCAACGACGCGGAGGGCGAGAATTGCCGGATTCCGAACGGCCCGATTAGTCGACGTCACCAACCATCTTCTGGGAGTCAATTACTACTCTCTCATAGCAGAACCGACCCAGTGAATTTTGGTCTCGTGCCACCACGAGCTGGACACGCTGCTCGTGCATGTCGTCCTAACCTACTGGGGTGGGTAATGCTGGATTCCCTTTGCTTCAATTCCGGGGTGTCCGGAGGTGGACCGGCGGGTGATCGACTCGGCATTGGCCATCGAAGCGCGCTTGCCCCTCCCTGTCTCCCCCTATCGCTGGGGTGGACTGATGCCCTATCGTGCATTGGACGTGAATAGCTAATCCTTCGTGTGTCTGGAGCTTTCTAGCATTTCTGCTCCCTTCAGCAAGGCAACATTCACCATATCTACCTACTCAGTCCCGAAATTCAAGCTCCAACTTCTGCTGTTCCGGCTGTAAAAAGTGAAGCGAGCTCGGGTCGACGTCATCAATACATCCCATCCGACCCATTCTTCCAACCCAAGAAGAACGTCGACTCGCGTCCTTTCGTCCTTTCCCTATCCTCTTATACTTTCTACCTTCATCTAAAACATCGCCATCATGTCGATGCCTGAGTTTGACCCGGCCCGTCGGCCCTCTCAGTCCGAGAATCAAACCATTCTCAAGTCCGAAATCCCCTTGAAGGAACGGTTCTTCCGCTATTTTCAGCATGAGATCACCGGTATGATTGAGCTGATCCGGCTGATTACCTATGCTCTTTCCTCTTTTCAGAAGAGAGGAATCTGACCCCTGTTCTTCCTGTAGCGCTCCAGGAACAGATGGATCGGCTGGCCGATACGTCGTTAGTGGGAGGTGAACGGACAGACGCAACCGATCACTGTCTGGCGGGCATTGCGCGCTTGTCCAACGAGGTCAAGGACGCAGCCAGCTATATCCCAACCTACGATCAGCGGATATATGCTGAGGTACACATCCACGTGCCTGAGTAACGCTTTGCCGTACTGACTTTTCCAGGCCATTAAAGCTCTGCAGGACAAACTCGTCGAGACTCGAGCTGCAGTCGAACCACGACCAAAGTTTAGCTTCAAGACCAAGAAGAATGCATCCGCCATCTCTCTGTCCGATGCAGCGCATCTCGCCGCTCAAGGTCGACGCAGTATCCCTGGGTTCCCCTCCCCTGACACATCATCGGTCAGCTCGTCTGCGACACAAACCCCCATGTATCCGTCAACGCCGCTGAACGAACCCGACAACCGCCTCCATCTACAAAGACCGGAGCTTGCTCCGACCTCTATCCCTGCATTCACAGTGGACGAAGATGAGGACAAACCCAAGTCAGACGCAGGGGGTGGATTTGCCGCAACGGCCGTGTCCTCAGTGTCTGTGAACAACCATCATAACCTGCACATCATGCTGCCGTCCTCAGGCTCAACCGCAACCGTGCCGGCGTCTATTACCCATCTTCGCCACTGCGTAGTCGACATGTCCATTCCCACGGCCAATGGAAAGCCGTATACCAGTCTGACCATCAAGAGCGTTAAGGAGAGTCTCCTCGTTTGTGGCCAGATCAACGGCCCAGCCCATATCACTGGCGTAGAGAACAGCATTCTTGTGGTTGACTGTCGGCAGTTCCGGATGCATAACTGCTCTAATGTGGACGTCTACCTCAGCTGTTCCAGCAACCCGATTATCGAGGACTGCAGCAATGTCCGATTCGGTCGGAAACCCCGTGTTTACGTAGGTGGCCTCTCGAATCATGTCCATGCTTCTACTAACGATGATAAACATAGACGCTCGATCACGATCGCCCAGATGACGAAGATCACTGGAGCCAGGTCGAAGATTTCAAATGGATCAAGCCGGAACCCAGTCCCAACTGGAGCCTTCTGGATGCCGAAGACGCCGTGCCGGAAGAAGTCTGGGCGGAGATTGTCCCGGGCGGTCCAGGCTGGTCGCTGGATGATATTCTACGTGCGATCAAGATTTCATCTCATTAACTGAACGTTTGCCAGTTACGAGCTGAGGAGGGAATTGGCGTCCGGTTTAACGAGTGTCGTAGTTGTAATTACTGCATTATGAATGCGATGGGGACAAACAAGGTAAACATATTCTATGTACCGGACTGGGTTCTGCGATGCGAGTGTTGCTTCTGAAGTACTCTCTTCTCTTGAGTGGTGGTCACATTATGGCAGCTGGGTAAATATATCTGGTGTCGGACACCCCACTGATTCACTTATTAGTATTTACTAGTATCCGCCTCTTATGATTCAATTTAAAATCCACTTGACCGTCTGTCCTATGCTGAAAATTAACTACTAAGTAAATTTGAGTTGTCGCTGCAATTTAACTATGGTTGTACTCATGATGCTGAAGGACCGCGTCGGAGTTATCACCTTAACTCGTACCCGCAAAAATATATTCATACAACGAAGTACTACCCTACTAGTACTAACCACCACTACAACAACCCATCACTCACCATCACACAACTGTTACAAAACCCCTTAATACCATGGATATCAAATCTTATAATTTTACTCTAAACACCAACACCTGAATACTATGAAGACCATATACCCCGACCCATTTCTCATACCTTAACCGACGCGAAATTCATGAACCCTGCTAAGTAATAGAAGTGCATCTCCCTTATTAGCCAACCCCAACTACCCTAAAAGACCAGACATAGAGGAACTCAAGGGATACTAGTGCTGCAGGCGCGTGGGTGCTTCGCTGCATGCAATTTGCTTTATAGGATGAATTAGCGAGAGCCGAGGGTCTAGTCCAGTGGCAGTTCTCTACAAGCTCTGCAACAGGATAAAATTCGAGTCATGTCATATTTCATTTCAATACTTTATTTCAGATTCGTCACTGCTTTTGAGCTTTCATTCGCCATTCCAGGTCGTCGGTACTTTGGGATAGTTCTTCGCATCCAACCCGAGATCTTCATAGATGGTGTCATCGCCTAAACAGAAGTTAGTCATCCGATCATAACACAGGCTTGGCAACTTACCCCGTAGAGCTTCAATCCGCTCTTCATTCTCCTGTTCCAGCTTCTCTAGTTCCTCGCCGGGCTGTGCTTCGTTGGCCTGCTTGTCGCCCTCTTCGGCTGTCGCGGCCTTGCCCAGGTCGTCGGTAGCCTCGCCAACCATCAGGAATTGTGCATTGGGGTAGTCGATAAATTCTGGCTGCAACGGGACCCAGCGGTAGTCGCCGAATTTTTCGCGTACACTAAGTATTATCAGCGAATATTTCTGGAATAATCTGGGGCAGCTATAGTGTACCTTTCAGGATACTCGGGGTCCTTCTGAATCTGAGCATAGGATGGGCCAGGGTATTTGGGGTTCTTCGACTGGATGACCCAACTGCCTCGAGAATGCAAACCAAAGTCTTCCTGGATAGATCCGATAGTCTCCGGAATGGTCAAGACATAAGCCAAGTGAGACGCCCGAGTCGTAGATGTGATGGCGTAGACGCCCTCAGCAAACGGTCTGGCCTCGGGAACGGTTCGCTCACCACGGGTAGACGTTTCGTACGTATCGCCAGCAATGAAGTTCTCTTGGAGTGACTTCATACTCTGTCCGGCCTTTTCGACAAACCCCATATCACGTTCTTTACCAGAGGTGGGAAACTTCTTTTTGGGCAGCATCAACAGCCGGCATTTTGCGCCAGGCTCCACAGAGCCCTGCTGTTGATTCAATGTGGCACCAATGGGTGTTGGTCGCAGCACCAGGAAGCTCCGGGCAACATCGCCAACGCTTTGCGGGTCGGTCACATTTACGCGCGGTCGGTAGAAGAAATAGATGATTCCCTTCTCGAGTACGTTTGATGCGACCTTCTCCTCCCGCTCCTGGGATGTTTTGACACCTACTTCGGCGCTGTCAGCAGCAGGAGCGGGTTTCTCTGGCTTTGTCTCTGGCTCTGCCTCGCGTTTCTCCTCACTCTTTTCTTCTGGTTTCTCCTCTACATCCTTTTCTGGCTTCTCCTCGGGGTTTTCATCTGGCTTTGGTTGATCCTCAGCTTTGTCGGCGGGCTCAGCTGGTGCCGCTGCGGGCTCTTCATCCGTCTTCTGCGGTTCTTCCTTTTCGACAGGCTTCTCAGGTTCTCCTTCAGATTTCGACTCTGGCTTTTCCGGCTCTTCCGCACGTTCTGATCTCGTCAGCCCGAATCTCTATAGATTGACGGTACACCATACCTTCTGTTGTCTTCACTTCTTCCTCGGTCGTCGGCTGCTGATTTTCCTCGGGCTTTACCTTGTCATCCTCCTTCTTTCCTTTCTTCGGTGCAGGGCCCTTGTCAGTGGTTTCCTTGCGCTTTGCGCCAGCAGGACCTCGGCTCTTGACATCCGGAGCAGCCGCAATGGCTTCCTTCGCCTTCTGAGCCGCTTGACGGGTAGACGTTCTAGTGGCGGCCATTGTAGCAATATGGGTCAATTTTATGAATACTCAATAGGCCAATTGAAAAGGTATGCACACAGGGACCACGAGCAAAGATGAATGGGTGAGGGGCATGAACAATCGACTGGTGGTCGCCAATGGAAGTCGTTGAGATTCGCCGGAAATGGCGATGAGAACCGCGTGACGTCATACAGGGTCCAGCCCGTTCTGGCTAGCGCTGCGTCAACTACGTCACGTGTCGCATATAGATTCGGAGAATTGGGACGAAAGGATGAGCGACAGTGTCAATCTCCCGCGATAATATCGCTCATTCATCTAGGTCCATTGCATCGGCATCAGTGTGAGTGAAAGGCTGGGTTGCACTGTCATCTGTTGACGGAGACCTTGAACTGTAGCCCCCCGACGAGGTGGTTTCGCTGCTATCGTGCTGCCAGATCATCCCCGGGGACAAATGGTCCCTCGCGCATCTGCCTTTTCGGCGCCTCCTCTTGGGACCCTCATTGGACTCGTCACGCTGAGCATTGGGGATAGAGTCGGAAGATGACTGTCGGAATGGTCGAGATGAACCTGTTGCTGTCGCGGAAGGCTTTCTTTTCTTCCCTCTCGTCCGGCTAGCGCTTTGATCTGAGTCGCACTGGAGCCCCTCCATCGAGTCCACCAGCTCTCCCTGCCAGATCTCTGAGTTGTCTCCAAGAAGAAAACGTATCGCCGGTTTGTCTGTGGTCTGTCCTGCAGCCTCAGCAGGCTCATCGTCTGGCTCCTCAATAGAATACGGTAGGACTACATCCGCATTCGTTTCATGTTTGTGAATGGTTGATGAATTACCTTCCAAAGAAACTGTACCTGCTCCAGACGAGATTCCCGGATCGCCTTGCGTGTTGCATGGTTGAGATGTAAAAGCTCTTGATCCATCGTGCGGTTGAAACGTAGGGGGGCTTTCAAGAATTTCCGTCATCTTGAGTCAGCCAAAGTCCAAAAGAGCGAATCTTGTATGGACGAAATCGCCCTTCTGAAGGTTAGCTGCTGCTCTGTAGAGCGTGACGCAAACCGCGCATGCGCTGCGAAACGGAAACGATGATAATTCAATAGCGAACAAAGTCACCCGATGACGCTTTTCCATTGATTTAGATGTATGAACATATGAGACAAATGAAATTTCACAACCACGGCTTCAACCGCTTGTTGTAACAGAAAGAAATGGCCCAGATAAGAGGAATCATGTCGGGTGGTACTATCCTGAGGGGCCCAGAGGAGAGATGGACCCGACGGGGGAGATCCCGAAGAAGCATCGAGAAGGGGAGAGTGAGATCACACTCGAATAACCTCCGCCGAACTCCACTCGAACCGGAGTGAAGGAGGCAGAACTGCAGCTTTGACTAAGTCCCCCAAGTAAATCGGTTCACTGTAATGTCTGCCCCAGAATGTAACAGAGAGCCTAAAAGAAGTGCCTGGCAGCTGCTCACCGCCGGGCCCATCATTGGCCCGCGGGACTCGCTTATTGGCTGCGACACAATAAGTCCACGTTTACCGCCATCCAAGACGGAACCACCAGCTGCCCAGAGTGACTGAGTCCAGACACTCCGAACTCCCCCCGTCTTCCCCCCTTTGCCCATTCTCTCCCGCCGTTGCTGTGGATGCGGTGGTCGCCTTTTTGACCTCTCTTAATACCTGAGTGCGGAGCTTGCTTCTCTATGGTGCGGCTCCGGCCAACCCTCCTTCATCATGCAGTCCTCCCCAAACATGCTCACCAAGGTCCGCTATCCCCTCCCCATTGCCAGCTCCCCCCCCTATCGCCGCGGAGCTGCTGCTGCTTTCAGGAACAGGAACTAATCTTCATCCTACTTGATAGTTTGAATCTAAATCCTCCCGCGCAAAGGGAATTGCCTTCCATCCCAAGCGGTCAGTGGACAATTGTCCTGTTCAACGCGTCGCAAACGAGTTCGGCTGACCCTCGAACAGGCCATGGATCCTAGTATCCCTTCATTCATCCACCATCCAATTATGGGATTACCGCATGGGAACTCTCATTGATCGCTTCGAAGAACATGATGGCCCCGTTCGTGGCATTGACTTCCACCCGACACAGCCCCTCTTCGTCTCCGGAGGTGACGACTACAAGATCAAGGTCTGGAACTACCAGACTCGTCGTTGCATGTTCACACTGAATGGCCATCTGGACTACGTACGGACGGTATTCTTCCATCATGAGCTGCCATGGATCCTTTCGTGCTCGGACGATCAGACCATCAGAATCTGGAACTGGCAGAACCGCTCCTTGAGTAAGTCGGAATCTGGCCACCTGTCCGGAGGGGTGCTGACAATGGCTTCACAGTCTGCACCATGACCGGCCACAACCACTATGTAATGTGCGCGCAGTTCCATCCTACCGAAGATCTCATCGCCTCCGCCTCCTTGGACCAGTCGGTTCGCATTTGGGATATTTCGGGTTTGCGGAAGAAGCACTCGGCCCCGACGTCCATGTCCTTCGAAGACCAGATGGCCCGCGCCAATCCCGCCCAGGCAGATATGTTCGGAAACACTGATGCGGTGGTGAAGTTCGTTCTGGAGGGTCACGACCGGGGTGTCAACTGGGTGTCTTTCCACCCAACCCTGCCCCTGATTGTCTCCGCGGGTGACGATCGTCTCATCAAGCTGTGGAGGATGAGTGGTACGTCAAGATACTTGTTATGGAGATATGGATTTCAGGCTGACACGGATGTATAGACACAAAGGCATGGGAGGTTGACACTTGCCGTGGACATTTCCAGAATGCCTCAGCTTGTCTGTTCCACCCACACCAGGACCTGATCCTTTCCGTTGGTGAAGACAAGACTATTCGGTGCTGGGATCTGAACAAGCGCACATCCGTCCAGTCATTCAAGCGCGATTTGGACCGCTTCTGGGTTATTGCTGCTCACCCGGAGATCAACTTGTTCGCTGCTGGTCACGACACCGGTGTCATGGTGTTCAAGTTGGAGCGTGAGCGTCCTGCCTCGGCTGTCTACCAGAACCAGCTCTTCTACATCACGAAGGAGAAGCACGTCAAGTCGTATGACTTTGCCAAGAACGTCGAGACCCCTCCTATGCTGTCGTTGCGCAAGCTCGGATCCCCTTGGGTGCCGCCTCGCACCCTCTCTTACAACCCCGCTGAACGTGCCATCTTGGTTACCTCTCCTACCGATAGTGGCGTGTACGAACTGATTCACCTCCCGCGCGATGCCACTGGTGCCGTTGAGCCTACGGATGTCAAGCGTGGTCAGGGCTCTTCTGCTGTCTTTGTTGCCCGCAACCGATTCGCCGTCTTCAGCCAGGGCAACCAACAGGTGGACATCAAGGATCTGAGCAACTCGACCACGAAATCGATCAAGCCCCCGGCTGGCACCACTGACATCTACTTTGGCGGTACTGGATGCCTGCTCTTCATCACGCCCACCAACGTTGTTCTCTTCGACATCCAGCAGAAGAAGCAACTGGCGGAGCTGGCTGTGAGCGGTGTCAAGTACGTTGTCTGGTCTAACGACGGCCTTTACGCTGCTCTGCTCAGCAAGCACAACGTCACTATTGTGACCAAGTCCCTTGAGCAGGTGAGCAGCTTGCACGAAACGATCCGGATCAAGAGCGCAGCCTGGGATGACGCTGGCGTCCTTCTCTACTCCACCTTGAACCACGTTAAATACTCCCTTCTGAACGGGTATGTCTCCTTAAAAGTGGTGAATGCTTTACATACTGACAACTTCGCAGTGACAACGGTATCATTCGCACTCTGGACCAGACGGTCTACCTCGTCAAGGTCAAGGGTCGCAATGTCTACTGTCTGGATCGTAATGCCAAGCCTCGCGTTCTGGAGATTGACCCTACCGAGTACCGTTTCAAGCTTGCCCTTGTCAAGAGGAACTACGATGAAATGCTTCAGATCATCAAGACTTCCAGCTTGGTCGGTCAAAGTATCATCTCCTACCTGCAGAAGAAGGGTTACCCTGAGATCGCGCTGCAGTTCGTACAAGACCCCCAGACCCGCTTCGAGCTCGCGCTCGAGTGCGGCAACCTGGAGGTGGCTATTGAGATGGCTAGGGAACTCGACCGTCCCAACTTGTGGAGCAGACTCGGAGCTGAGGCTTTGGCTCATGGTAACCACCAGACGGTTGAGATGGCCTACCAGAAGCAAAGGAACTTTGACAAGCTGTCTTTCCTGTACCTCTCCACTGGTGACCAGGAGAAGCTGTCAAGAATGGCCAAGATTGCCGAACACCGTGGCGATTTCACCTCGCGTTTCCAGAATGCCATTTACCGTGGCGACGTGGAAGACCGGATTCAGATGTTCAAGGAAGTTGACCAATGTAAGTCCAATACGAGCAGTTATAACGGGTTTTGCTAATCAGTCAAAGATCCCCTCGCATACCTCACTGCCAAGTCTCATGGACTGACGGAAGAGGCCGAGTCGATCCTCGAGGCTTGCGGTCTTACCGAGGACCAGATCACACTTCCCTCCATCGAAGAGCCTGCACGGGTTCCCCACCCGATTGTTCCCACCTTCAAGTCCAACTGGCCTGTCAAGGCTGCTGGTCATTCCTCTTTTGAGAAGGCCCTTCTTGGAGAGGTTGGCGCCGGCGACGAGGAGGGTGCAGCGATCGAGTTTGAGCCCGAGGAGGACGAGGAGGCTATCACTGCACGCGACACCCTCGAGGATGAGGAAGAGGACGTTGCTGGCTGGGACATGGGAGACGAGATCAATGTCGAGGAGGACGTTGACTTTGTGAACGTGGACAGCGCAGAGGCCGGTGCAGGCAGCACCGAGGCCGATCTGTGGGCGCGTAACTCCCCTCTGGCAGCCGACCATGTCGCTGCTGGCTCCTTCGAGACTGCTATGCAACTGCTTAACCGTCAAGTGGGAGCAGTCAACTTTGCCCCTCTCAAGCCGCGGTTCTTGGAGGTGTACAAGGCCTCCAAGACTTTCCTCCCGGCGACCACTGGCCTGCCCCCGTTGGTCAACTATGTGCGCCGCACTGTCGATGAGACGGATAGCCGCAAGGTCCTGCCTATCATCCCGAAGGACCTGGAGACAATCGCCAACGTGGATCTGCAGGAGGGTTACGCCGCCATGCGGGCCAACAAGCTGGAAGATGGCGTGCGGATCTTCCGCAACATCCTAAACTCCGTTCTGATCAACACTGTCTCGTCCGAGGCGGAGGTGGAGCAGGCCAAGAAGATCATCGAGACTGCTCGGGAATACATCCTGGCCATGTCTATTGAACTGGAGCGCCGTTCCATCCCCACTGACACCCCCGACAACCTCAAGCGAAGCCTCGAGCTTTCTGCTTACTTCACGATCCCCAAGCTAGAGGTTGCACACCGGCAATTGGCACTTATGGCTGCCATGAAGCTGGCCTTTGCCAACAAGAACTACTCTTCGGCCCTCAGCTTTGCCAACCGCATGCTGGCTAACGGTGGCTCGCCCAAGCTTCTGGAACAGGTAAGCAATACAGGCCTTCCCCGTTGATGATTCGAAATGCTAACACATGAATTAGGCCAAGAAGATCAAGGTGCAATGCGAGCGCAGCCCGCAAGACAAGATCGACATCGAATTCGACCAATTTGCCGAATTCGATATCTGTGCTGCCTCGTTCACACCGATCTACGGCGGCTCACCGAGCGTGTCGGACCCATTCACGGGCGCCAAGTACCATGAGCAGTACAAGGGCACCGTGTGCCGGATCTCGCAGGTGACGGAGATCGGCGCTCCGGCCAGCGGGCTGCGGTTGTTCGTCCCGGGTCAGTACTGAGGATGATGACGAGATGTGACGGCTTTCCTTTTTCTTTCTTCACGCTTGTAATTCCCCGTCTCGATGTGCAAACATGATAGAAATGGGCTTTCTCTGGTGGGGGAAAAAGGAGGATGGATTCTGGTTGGAGAGGAAATGTTGGCGCCCATGGCTGGAGGAAGCTCTCCTGCTTTGGATGGTCCCCGATGTGTGAAATTCATAATTCCAGCGACGTTAGTATATTCATTCATCTATTTACTGTTATTGCTATTGTTTGATATACTTTTCTTTTCTTTTTCTTCCTTTCTATTCTATTGCTGAGCTGTTCTTGTACAGATAAAGAGGTGAGATAGTATTATCATATCATATCATATCATGATCAGATGCCGAGTAGAGATATCCGTCACCCAATAGTTGGTATAGTACACAATGTAAATTCCCCACTCATCCCTTCCCATCCCCATTATCAATGGTAGCAGCAGCAGTAGTCTATATCTATAATCTAATCATACACACTCCCCCATCCCCAACCCCCATCCCCAACACGAGATTTGAAAAAAAAAATCACTCACACCTCCCATCCCCCCACCCCTTCCTCCACCTCTCCTCCCAAAACCTACAATCAAACTCACTCTTCCCCAATTTGCGATTCACCTCATTATGCGCCCTACACATCCAATCCCCGAACTCCTTCCGTCCACCCAACCTAGGCTGGTTCTCCCCACTCGGCTCCGCCATCCATGTCCGGAAATCGTCAGCACACACCCAGCACGGATACAACTTCGAGAACATCCCCAGGAACTGGCGCATCTCGGATTGTTGTTCGCTGGACGCTTGGGCCGGGTACGACGCTGTCAATGAGTGCAGGAACGTCCAGGTGGAGCGGCCGAGGGCTTCCGAGTCTGGAGGGCAGTCTGTGTAGCCGGGGGTGGTGGTGAGGGTTTTCGGGATGGTGGTGCTGCTGCTGCTGTTGGTTGTTGTGGTGGTGGGAGTAGATTTGGCTTGTTTGGTCAGGGCGCGCCAGGAGGCGGCGGAGGTGCAGAGGCGGCATCTATTCATGGGAAAAATTTGTTAGTTTAGGGGGGTATGTGGGGAGGGGATGGGGGAGGGCGTACGGCTTTCCGTCTTTGTCGAGGATGACTCCGTTGGGGAGTTTGGTCATGCCTGCGGGGACGGAGTCATCTTTTGTTGTCGCTGTTGGAGCGGCTTGTTGTTGGGTGGAGGATGAAGGCGTAGCAGGTTGTTGTTGCTGTTGTTGGTGGATGAAGAGGTGTTTTTGTGTGTTTGCTGGTGGTGTCGTGTCTGCCATTGTGGGCTATGCAGGTGGTGATTGATGCTGGTGGGAGGATGATGAAGGTATTCGGATGCGATGCGGAGAAGAAGTAGGACGCAGCGCAGAGTAGAAGTAGTCAATTCGGAAGAGTAGTATGTACACTGGAGGGTCTGGTATTCGAGCAGGGCAGAGACACGAAGGAGCAATATCCGCGACAGAGCTTTAAGAGACAACTTCTGGTGAATTGATAGTGCTTGATTGGTAATGCAACAAAAGAATGTCTCCGTCGAATCCCTCCGGCTTCTAGAATTGCCATGTGCCTGCTTTGTCAGCCGAGTATATCTCCGCTGCTCTCCGCCTGTGCCTTGCCTGGAGCAATGGAATGATGGGGGGACGTCCAAGCTTCGTGGATCCGTACACTGTGATTGATCAACTAGCTAACTTGTTCTATTTCGCGTCAATACGCGTTTCTGGCTTGATTACTACTCCTGCTAAAATAAGCTTCTGTGCCTGACGAGATTATCTGAAGTGCTGTCAGAACGCGATCGGTAACTTATCAAACTAGCTAGCTAGCTAACTAGCGCCGTGTCCCCTCCTGCTAGGTACCACGCGACAGTTGAGGTTATCGCAACGCAGTGTCATCCACCCCATACAGTTATACAAGCCCAATGGCGCCACGATACGCCCTTTCGAGTTCGGAGCCCGAGTCGGAAGCTGAATCTGCGTCCGGTCGTCCTGCCGATGATGTCCTGGAGCAGGCACTGCGTGATGCGGTTACGAAGGTGTACAAGTCAGGCAAAATGGAGGAATTGACGGTGAAGCGGGTGCGACTAGCTGCGGAGAAGGAGCTCCAGTTGGAAGAGGGCTTTTACAAGACTCAGGGGGATTGGAAGACAAGGAGTGAGCAGATCATTAAGGATCAGGTGGTGAGTTTGCTGGTGTCCTGGCTGTCATTGGGTGCATGGCTAAGAGTGTCTGATGTTTGTGAAGATCGTCTACTGACTTACTGATATACAGGAGGAGGAAGAGAAAGCCGCCCAGGAACCCGTGCCGGATGACGAGGAAGATGCCGCTTCATCTGCTTCCGAAGACGCCAAGCCTGCCAAACGAACAAGACCAGAGAAGCCATCGGCATCGCGCAAGCGTCAGAAGAAAAGCGCTTCGATATCCGATAACGGAGATGTAGCCAACGCATCACCAGACGAGGATGAAGACAAGGTAGAAAAGGTCCCGAAAAGACAGACTAAGGCAACACCAAAGAAGCAGCCATCGCCCAAGGCTTCAGAAGACTACGTTCAAGATTCCGATGAGGAAGAAGGGGCAAAACCAGAGAAAGCCGAAGAGACACCAAGGGATGACTCTGAGAGCGAACTTTCAGTTGTCCTAGACGAGGAGCCTAAACCGAAGCCGAACCGCAAGCGACAGAAAAGTGCCGAGGCACCCCCGCGCAAGGGCAGGAAACAGACAACGGCAAAGGGAAAGGATGCGGATATAGACCCAAACCAAGCGGAAATCAAGCGGTTGCAAGGCTGGCTGTTGAAGTGCGGGATCCGCAAGATGTGGGCACGGGAGCTGGCTCCCTACGATACGCCCAAAGCGAAGATCAATCACCTCAAGGGCATGCTGAAGGACGCAGGCATGGAGGGGCGCTACTCGGTTGAGAAGGCTAATCGTATCCGCGAGGAGCGTGAACTCAAAGCTGATCTGGAGATGGTCCAAGAAGGAGCCAAGCGATGGGGTAAAGAAAGCGGCAGCGAGAACAGTGATGATAGTCGACCAAAGCGGCGGCTGAATCGCGGGCGGAAGAGTCTGGCCTTTTTAGAGAGCGAGGGCGAGGAAACGGACTGAGATGGTGAATGACGATCAATGTGCGGGTTGCTGCATGAGGTTTAGCTGTCGCAGTATCTGCCTGGCGCAGGCTGTGGGTCGTAATGACACTCGAGATAATTGAATAGTCCATGTTGGCACATCACGCCTTATTTCCCTGTCTTTGTTCCGCCCATACGTTGAGCCACCAGGCTAAAAACGGCGACGGAAGAGATGAAGAGGACGAGGTTATAGAACTGCAGAGCATGTCAGTCAATAATTGGGATCACCATAAAGCGATAGCTAGCTAGCGAGAGCTTACCGCTGTTCTGGAGTACTCGTTCTCTTCCGCCTCTGTTCTAGCCTCGACAAACAGGCGTCGGAGATTGGGTAGATTGGCCTAGGATAGAGATGTGAGTGGTAGCAGTTGAGGGGGTAATTTCAAGTTACATACCATAGCTCTGGTGGCAAGTAGTGCTGTTTGAAAGGAGAAGGAAAGAAAGAAAGACGGAAGGCGGCAGCGGTGGTGGTGGTGGTGGTGGTGACGGGGAAGCCAGACCGGGGAAGAAAGAGAGCGGCTCAGGTTAAGTTAGTGTTGGGTCCAGACACTCACTCGCTCGACTCCCTAATTGTATCTGTCCTCCTTCCACTTCCTGCCCGGCCCTCTTGCTCCCCCCCCAATCAACCCCCCTCTTCCCTCCCCTCAGGGTCTTTTTCTATACTTTCTGTCTTCTCTTCCTTTAACCTTGTCTTGTTTCCTTTTACTCGTCCAACCATCCTCTGCCGGATCGCTGCCGTGTCCGGTTCTCCCTGAAGCTCTCGCCGCCTCGCATTAATTCCCCGCAGTCTCCTGCATTCCCACTTCCGATCCCATCTGGTTTTGCGGAGGCGCGACCCCGTCGTCGCTGAAGCCCGGTTTCGCTCAGCATGGCTATGAGTAAGATCAGGGGGCCTTTGCGGTCCCCAGAAAAGGAGAGACCTTCGAATTGCGAGCTGGTCTTGTGTATGGTGTGCCCCGTGCCCGATCGGTGACCGACATCTTGCTGACCTCTCGACAGATCTCAATATGCATATGAACGGTACGTCGACATGAATCTGCCTATGGAGAACCGCCAATAGCTCGTGACACATTCTCTGATGCGCGCATAGGAAGGAATCCATTCAGAAGACCATCATGGCCATGACGTTGGGCAAGGACGTTTCCGCTCTGTTTCCGGATGTCCTCAAGAACATTGCGACCAGCGATCTCGAGCAGAAGAAACTAGTCTACCTCTACCTCATGTACGTGTTCGCTCTTTGGTTTCCCAAAGTGATCTTTACTAAACACTCCCTACGTACCAGGAATTACGCCAAATCTCACCCGGACCTTTGCATTCTCGCCGTCAACACCTTCGTACAAGACTCCGAAGACCCGAACCCCCTCATTAGGGCTCTTGCGATCCGGACAATGGGATGTATCCGTGTGGACAAGATGGTGGATTATATGGAGGAGCCCCTTCGCAAGACGCTTCGCGATGAGTCGCCATATGTCCGGAAGACCGCCGCGATCTGTGTAGCGAAGCTCTTCGACCTGAACCCCGCTATGTGCCTGGAAAACGGCTTCCTTGAGATGCTGCAAGAGATGATTGGGGATCCTAATCCCATGGTTGTCGCCAACTCTGTCACCGCACTGTCAGAAATCTACCATGCTGCCCCTGAAACGCAAGCCCTCAAGGTTACTTCCAACACTCTGCGCAAACTTCTCATGGCCTTGAACGAGTGCACGGAATGGGGTCGAGTCACGATTTTGACTACTCTGGCCGAGTACAGAACCAACGAAGTGACTGAATCTGAACACATTTGCGAAAGGGTTGCTCCCCAATTCCAACATGCCAATCCCAGTGTTGTCCTGGCGGCCGTTAAAGTGGTATTCCTCCATATGAAGAACGTCAACTATGAGCTGGCGAAGAACTACCTGAAGAAGATGGCTCCCCCGCTTGGTAAGATAACCATAGATTCTGCTGACCGACTTACTTGCTGATGTATTATGGTTCAGTAACGCTGGTGTCGTCGGCGCCCGAAGTCCAGTATGTGGCTTTACGGAACATTGATTTGTTGTTGCAGAAGCAGCCTGATATCCTGAACAAGGAACTGCGGGTCTTCTTCTGCAAGTACAATGATCCACCTTATGTTAAGTTCCAGAAGCTGGAGATCATGGTCCGCATAGCCAACGACCGCAACGTCGACCAGCTCCTGGCAGAGCTGAAGGAGTACGCGCTGGAGGTGGACATGGACTTTGTGCGCCGTGCCGTCAAAGCTATCGGTCAGGTCGCCATTAAGATCGAGAGCGCCAGCGAAAAGTGTGTCAACACCCTGCTGGACCTCATTAACACCAAGGTCAATTATGTGGTACAAGAGGCGATCGTGGTCATCAAGGACATCTTCCGCAAATATCCCGGCTACGAAGGAATCATTCCCACTCTCTGCAAGTGCATCGATGAACTGGATGAACCTAATGCGCGCGCTGCGCTCATCTGGATCGTTGGTCAGTATGCGGAGAAGATCAGCAACGCGGGTGACATTCTTGCTGGTTTCGTGGAAGGCTTCAATGAGGAGTTCTCTCAGGTTCGTTTATTTTTCTCGCCAAGCCTCTCAACCAAATGCTGATCCTTTGTGCAGACCCAGCTGCAGATCTTGACCGCTGTCGTCAAGCTCTTCCTCAAGCGGCCCGAGAAGGCTCAGGGGCTTGTCCAGAAAGTGCTGCAGGCGGCCACGGCTGAGAATGACAACCCCGATGTCCGCGATAGGGCTTACGTGTATTGGCGTTTGCTGTCCAACACGAGCGACCCGAATGCTACGAAGAACATCGTACTGTCTGACAAACCGCCGATTGTCACCACAATCCACTCTCTTCCCCCGAATCTCCTCGATCAGCTACTGAGCGAACTCTCCACCCTCGCATCTGTCTACCACAAGCCTCCGGAGCAATTCGTTGGACAGGGCAGATTCGGTGCAGATGCCGTACAAAGAGCTGCCATCGAGTATGTTTTACACTCGCTTTGCAAAGCTAGGCTAATGAAAATCCTAGGGAACAAATCCAAAACGCTCGCGAGAATCCGTTGGCGGCAGCGGCGGCAGCAGCAGCTGTTACTGGCAGTGCTCCGCCTCCGCAAGCCCAGAGCAACATCGAGAACTTGTTGGATATCGACTTCGATGGCACCGCGCCGGCATCTGCTCAGAAAGAACCGGGCGCTGGGATGTCAGGTCTCGAAGGCCTTGCTGGAACGCCCGTGCGGGTGGAATCTCCGGCCGCAGGGGCACCTTCTGGAAGCAACAACCTGGACGACCTGCTCGGAGTGTTTGGCGATGGCGCCGCCGCCGCCGCCGCCCCCCCAGCCAGCGGGAGCGGTGCTCCCAGTGGCGGTGCTGGTGCAGACTTGATGAATGGCTTTGAGGGGCTGGACCTGTCTGGAGGTGGCATGGCTTCACCACCTCCTGGAGGAAGCCAACCAAAGAAGACAAACGAGGATATTCTGTCGTTATTCTGAGCGCAATGAGCCATGTCTGTATGATGGCGCACGATTTCGTATAGCTGAATCGCAGGTGCGGGAAGGTTGAGCCAAAAGCACACATAATTCTGTTGATGCATGCCGAATATAGATCTATTTTTCGTTACTCTAGCTTGGGGTCTATCTTGATACTACTCTTGTCTATCTGCTTTTTTCCTGTTTGCCATTCTGGGTGTTTCCGCCCACCTGTATGTCCATCTCATCATTGGACTTGACGAGCATTGATCTATTCTACGTATCCCTTACTTAATTGCGCACTTCTTTCCCGGTCAACGCATTCAGGAAACTTTTCCCCAACTTCAGGGGACTTGCTGACTTTGCATTTAACCCTTCTAGCGGGGGGCCAGCAATGCTAGTTGGTCGGAACCGAAACCCTCCCTTGTCCGGGTGAGTCACGGCTGCTCATCCTGCCTGGACTTCCGGCAGTCTGTGAACCACTATAAATAGTCATGCCATTCTCAAGGCTCTCATCGCTTTTCTCAGATTGAAATCCATTGAACCCCTTCTATTACCGTGCAATGGATCAACTAAAAAAAACTTTCGCCCGGTGTGCGCAGGAGGGCCGGCCAGCCCTTGTGACTTATGTCACGGCTGGCTTCCCTACGGCAGCAGAGACTCCAGACATTATGCTTGCAATGCAGGCTGGAGGAGCAGGTATGCAATACTTCCTAGCTTGTATAAGTGACAACGTCCGCTGGTGTGCTAATGATGTGGTAGATGTCATTGAACTCGGTCTCCCTTTCACGGACCCTATTGCCGACGGCCCTACCATTCAGATGTCAAACCTTAAGGCGCTCGATAACGGTGTCACCATATCCTCTATGTTGCAAATGGTAAAGGATGCCCGTCAAAGAGGTCTGCACGTTCCCGTTCTCTTCATGGGTTACTATAACCCGATTATGCGTTATGGGGAATCCGAGCTCCTCGCTGCGAGCAGGACAGCGGGGGTGGATGGCTTCATCATTGTCGATCTACCGCCCGAGGAAGCTGTTCGATTCCGGAACCAGTGTAGAGATGCTGGGTTAGTTACCTTTCTAATACCAATTGTTGAGGCAACAGGGCATTGCTTGACCATCCACTGACCCATATCCTTCGAGCAGTCTTTCCTACGTCCCATTGATAGCCCCGTCGACCACAGAGGACCGCATGAAAACTCTCTGCGGAATTGCCGATTCCTTTATATATCTTGTGTCCAGAATGGGTGTCACTGGCGTCACTGGCACTCTGAGTCACTATTACTGGAACTAATGAAGCGCGTGAAGCATCTTTCCGGCGGAGTACCGGTGGCCGTTGGCTTCGGCGTCAGCACCCGTGAACAGTTCCTCGGCGTCACCTCTGTCGCAGACGGCGCCGTCATTGGCAGTGAGATAATCACCCAGCTGGCAAACGCTCCTGCAGGCCAGGGTGCAGCTATCATCCAAGACTACTGCTCTCAGATTACATGTCGGACAGTCAAGCCAACTGAACCTCACTCTGTCCCAGAGAACCCTCACTCATCTTCGTCATCATCGAACCTCCCTGTCTTAGAGCAGTCAACTGAAGCGTCCAGGCCCGGCCGTTTCGGCACCTTCGGCGGCCAATACGTACCAGAAGCCCTAACGACATGTCTCAACGAACTAGAAGCCGGCTTCAACACCGCCATCGACGACCCAACCTTCTGGGCTGAATACCGTTCCTACTACCCCTACATCGGACGGCCCTCATCCCTACACCAAGCCCCACGCCTCACCTCCCACGCTGGAGGCGCCACCATCTGGCTAAAGCGCGAAGACCTCAACCACACCGGCTCACACAAAATCAACAACGCCCTCGGCCAGATCCTCCTCGCCCGCCGACTCGGCAAGACCGAGATCATCGCCGAAACAGGGGCCGGCCAACACGGCGTAGCAACCGCCACCGTATGCGCCAAATTCGGCATGAAATGCACCGTATACATGGGCTCCGAAGACGTCCGCCGCCAGGCCCTCAACGTCTTCCGGATGCGCCTCCTCGGCGCCACCGTCATCCCCGTAGAATCCGGGTCCCGCACACTCCGCGACGCCGTCAACGAAGCCTTTCGCGCGTGGATCACGCGCCTTAACACAACCCACTACATCATCGGCTCAGCCATCGGACCACACCCCTTTCCCACAATCGTCCGCACCTTCCAATCCATCATCGGCCAGGAAACCAAAACCCAGCTAGCGCAGCAAATCAATCGTCTCCCTGATGCAGTAGTCGCCTGTGTAGGCGGTGGCTCTAACGCCGTCGGCATGTTCTACCCTTTCTCTGAAGACCCCAGTGTCCAGTTGATCGGCGTGGAAGCTGGCGGCGATGGTGCCACCGGCCCGGAGCACCACTGCGCTACCTTATCCTCTGGGTCTGGCTCGGTTGGTGTATTCCATGGAGTGCGGACATACGTACTTCAGAACGAACACGGGCAGATCTCCGATACGCATTCCGTGTCCGCAGGGCTGGATTATCCTGGGGTTGGACCGGAACTGGCGCATTGGAAAGAGGTGGGCAGGGCGAGGTTCATCTCGGCGACAGATGACGAGGCGCTGGAGGGGTTGAGGTTGTTGTGTCGGTTGGAGGGGATTTTGCCGGCGTTGGAGACGGCGCATGCGATTGCCAAGGTGGTGGATGTGGCGAGAGAGGTTGGAGTGGGTGGTCATGTTGTATTGTGTGTTAGTGGGAGGGGGGATAAGGATGTTGATACGGTTATGGGGGTGGAGGGGATGGCTTAGGGAGGTAGTATAATACTCCAGCCTTTTTTTTCTTTTTCCTAATTTTCGAGATATTTTTAATTCTATCAATCTGGTACTTTTTTTCACTCGAATTTTCTAGAGATCCCGAGTATAAATGCAGCCCTTTGAAGATGTCCATTGATATAATTGATTGTTCAAGTCCTTTTATTAACATAAACCTAGTATGAAGGAAGATAATACAGTAAATCCACAAGATGCGACACTGAATGCAACACATAGGCTACTTAAAAGTAAGTAGTATAGATAACGCCATACCACCCCAATATGACCGATACTAGTTGTTCATAGTTAGTAGCGGTCAACTGTATGCAGTAGTACCATGTTACCGACATAATTCCGAGAATATTACCGAAGGGTACTAAAAGTTGAACCCCCTCACGATAGAAGTTACCTCAGTTTTACGAAGTGTCTTGGATATTTTTGAATCAACTATTTAGAGTGGAATAACTAGCAGTCCGGAAATAATGTAGCGAGACAGAGGTAGACAGCACAACAAGGTAGGAAAGTTATCGCTATCTATAATTTAGATCACAAGATAAAAAAGATACCGAATCGGACCCTTGTTCGGAACGAGATTACATTGATTAGAGTTGATTCCCGATGAGATCCGATTCCTGCAAGGTTTCCGCGTCTTTTTTTTTTTTTTTTGACTTGCGGGTTATCGGGCCGTGACGATTTGTCTATGAGTTAGATCACACCACACATGTCATTCATGTTACTGTGTATTTTGAGAAGTTCAAGGGATAATATTGGAAATGAATAGAAATCAATCAATTAAGGTCGTTAAGGCTGTTAAGGCTGTAGGGAGGGTTTCCCACTTTGGTTTTCTTTCATTTTTCATTACTCAGTGGGGGGGGGGGCTTTGTCCGTCCACTTTATTAGTCTCATTGTCCGGCTTTGGAGAAGGAAGATTTGGAGAATTTGGAGAAACACTAGCATTAGAAAGTATTCGTTCAGTTACAATTAATATTTTAATCTAGAATAATAATACTCAACCCAATTACTGAGATTTGGTTTCTGTATAGCAAATTAATTTTGTAGTCTACAGGTAAGATTGAATTAAGAGTATTAATAATGCTGCAAAACAAGCCGACGGATCGAGGTAAGACTCCGCCAGATGTCTATCGGAAAGACTCCATCTAGACCACAAGTACTTCTTCTCAGTGGGCTAATAGGCCATCGATAGGATATCCGCAATACCCGTGCCCTTTCCGCCTCTTCTTCTCCTTTACTTGGCTATTCTGTCTCTGGCCAAAAGTGGGCCATCTGCCGATCCAACCGATGAATGATCCATGGAATAGCAGTTGCCCCTCTGTAGTGGTTCCTGGCGTATAAATTATAAAGAATTGGGGTTGTCTCCTATTCCTTGACTTAGTTGCACCTGTCATACCCCAAACTTAGACATACCTTTGTCCACTCACTCATTCACAATGGCTCAAGATTACAAGTTTGAAGGATGGATGGGTCTCGACAAGGACTCCGCCGACGGAAAGATGGTCTGGCAGGAGTTTGAGCCCAAGCCGTGGGAGGAAACCGATGTTGACATTAAGATCACTCACTGCGGTATCTGCGGTTCCGATTTGCACACTCTTCGCAGCGGCTGGGTAAGTCATTCATCACCATGTTTTGATTTTGTAGAAAGTTCGTGAACTTAGATACTAACCTCAGCAGAGACCTACTTTGTACCCCTGCTGCGTGGGCCACGAAATCGTCGGCATTGCCGTGCGTGTTGGTTCCAAGGCTGTCGGCGGCATCAAGGTCGGTGACCGCGTGGGTGTCGGCGCGCAGAGCGACTCCTGCCTTGGTCGTCTGGGAGACTGCCCCGAATGTGCGATGGGCGATGAGCAGTACTGCTCCCACAAGATCGTCGGTACCTACAACAATGTTCACCTGAATGGCGGCAAGTCTTACGGTGGATATGCTCTGTACAACCGCACCCCGTCTCACTTCGTTATCAAGATCCCCGACAGCATCCCTTCGGCGCAGGCCGCCCCTATGCTGTGCGGTGGTGTCACCTTGTTCAGTCCCCTGAAACACCACAACTGTGGCCCTGGCAAGCGCGTGGGTATCATTGGTGTTGGTGGATTGGGCCACTTCGGTGTGCTTTTGGCCAAAGCCATGGGTGCTGATAAGGTGGTTGCTATCTCCCGCAAGACTGGCAAGGCCAATGATGCGCTGGCTATGGGTGCCAATCTCTATGTTGCTACGGATGATGAGCCGGACTGGGCTACCAAGTATGCCCGGTCTCTGGATCTGATTGTCTGCACTGTTTCTTCGACCAAGGTATGTTTACCCCATTATACGCATAATTTGGGGGTTTCGGGTACTAATGGGGATATAGATGCCCATGACCGAGTACCTGGGCCTGCTTGCGACGGGCGGTGCCCTGGTCCAGGTCGGACTTCCTGATGACGGTGTTCTCCTGGCCCCTGTCGGCAAGCTGCAGCGTCGCCTGAAGGCCACCAGCTCCTTTATCGGCAGCCCCAACGAGATCCGTGAGATGTTCCAGCTCGTTGCTGAGAAGGGAGTCAAGGCCTGGATTGAAGAGATCCCGATGAAGGACGCCAATCAGGCCATTGTGGATATGCACGCGGGCAAGGCGCGGTACCGTTATGTGCTGGTCAATGAGCAGTGATATGATGATGGTGATGATTTACGATGTATGGAGTTGTTGGAGTTTAGTTG